TATCCGACCCACAGGAAGGACGTGGACATCCTGGCTAGCCATGCATTGATGGCGGATCTCAGGAACTACATGGTCTCGGCGACGGGGTACGACGAGAAGAGAAGATTGAGGGAGGCAGTAGCCAAAGTGCAAAAGGCAATCAATGCTGGGCAATCAGAGCCTCCTGCCACCCATTCGTCTACGTTAGTGACGATAGGGTGAGGACGGTTCTTGATGGTCGTCAACCGGAGCCGTTGAATGTGAACGTCGACGAGCTCCAGTCGGTGCATCATGCTGCGCAGGGTCCTGGTCCAAAGCAGGAGCCGATCGTCAAGGGCGGGAAAAGGAAAGAAGGGTGAAAAGGGTGGTAAGGGCGATAGTCCTTCCGACCCACAACCAAAGTCAAGCGATGTGTCAGGAAAAGGGTCTGGTAAGGGCGATAGTCCTGCTGTTCCGAAGGCGAAAGCCAAGGCCGACGCTGGGCCGGCTCCAATGGAGGTTGATCCACCTGCGGCTCAACCGAAGAAGACTTGGGTCGCGATAGCGGTTGAAGGAGCTCGGCCAAGTGCAAAGGCTAAGATGACTCCAGTCCCGAAGGCCGAACCGAAGGGGAAAGCAGCTTCAATTCCTGAGGCGAAGAGTGCTCAGGCTCCGAGGGCTGAGTCTAAGGAGACGAAGCAAGCCGACCCAAAGGTTGAAGTCAAGAAGGAGAAGGTAAGCGGAGACGACGCTCCTGGCGGTAGTCGGGGCTCGGCTGAAGGGCAGAAGAGAGAAAGGAAGTCCCGTTGGGATCCGGATGAGCCTGTGAAGGAGTCGACAAAGCGGGAGGCATCAAAGAGACCTGATGATGTCGACAGCCGGCCAGGTGCGGCAGCGAGAGAGGCAAGTGGAGATGATCTTCACTCCGCGCTTGGTAGGTCTTCGGCAAAGGACGCGGTAGCGCCCTTGACAGCCTCCAAGGCGATGGCGAAGAAGCCTGAAGGGGGTGAGGTCAGATTGCAGTCGGCGGGGCGAGCTGCTGCGAGCCCGGCGGAGGGTCATTTCCTGGTGTTGCCGGAGAGTTCGGTGGTGGATGCCTTCCTGACGATGTCACCCGATAGCGTGCTAAATAGGCAGGTCAGAGATTTCATCAGGAATGGCGAGAATGCTTCAGCGCTGGAGGTTCTCAACCAGATTGTGGCCAACTCTCGCCTCGGGCGAGGGCGTCGGGATTCGGACGTTTCCCGCACTCCCTCTCGGAGGTCCGTTAGGACTCTGGACACCAGGGATTCCCGAGAATCGAGACCGCGGCGTGACGAAGATCGAGACAGAAGGAGGGACGATGTTTGAGATCGTCGTGGTGATGATTGACTCGATCGAGAGTGAGATCGAAGGCGAGATGATCGCAGGAGATCCGAGAGGGATCGTGACAGGGACCGTGCGCGGGGCGGACGTGACCGGAGGAGACGTGACGATAGCCGGTAGATAGGCTTACGTCCGTTCTCCGATGGTTGGCGCGGTGCGGAGATGATGATGTTCCTTCCGAACCGCTGAGGCGCGGAGATCATGTCCCTCCCGTACCGCTGCTCGGCTGCTGGTCATGCGCATCATGAAGTAGTGTGAGTGAGAGGGGATGCAAACTGGTGGAGGGTACTCCCAGGCTTGCGGAATTCAAGTATTTTTCAGGTGCGCATGGTCAGGGGTACCTCTTGCCGATAGGCGAGGGTACTGATGAACATACGTTATCCTTTGTTTCATGGCTTCTGATAAGAATTGAACTACTTGCATTGTTGATGCAAACAGTTGTGGCCTAGTGTCGTCATGTGGACTCTTCCACGAAGTATGTTGGACAGCGTTACCCCGATTAATTCGGGGTGGTGGCGGGAATTTAATGCCCGGGATGTCGCGCAACTGCCTTTGTGGGTTTGCTCCACCGCTGACGGCGGTAGTGTCCAGCTGTTTGCGGACGCATGCGAGCAGTTAAATCCTATCAGTAAATGGCACGCTCCACCCGTCATATGACGGGCTCCTCGTGAGGGGGGTGTGATTAGCCATGACTTAAACCATCACCAGGGATGTCGCGATAGTGACTGACCGGTGGTGTTTGGCTCAAGGCTCAAGTTTGCGGGTCCGTCGCGCCTCGGATGAGCGTCGCCGGGTCCCCGCGTCGATCACCTTCGTGTCGGTGGAGAAAGAGACATCGGCCCGGGGCAGATTGGTGGGGTCCGCCCGCGCGGTTCATCGTCGACCAAAGTTGCGGGTACTCGTTTACTTGCTTTGGTATTTTCCTTTTGGTTGTTGTTCTCTGGTGTGTGGGAAACCCTGGTCTTTGGGACCGGGGATTGGTTTGCTTTTGGGGAACCTTTCTTTTGTGGCTTGTTTACCCCAACTTACCCATTGCCTGGGCACAGGCTCGTGCCCGAATCACAACAACAAACAAATGGCCATCCCAATCCCCACTAAAATGGGAAGCCTAAAATGGGTGGTGAATTCACCTACCAAAATGGGATCCCAAAACGGTTTTGACCCGCCAAACAAACCGTGTTTTTGTTCAGCGACTTGGGGATGTCTGATGAAAAACACGGCATATTGAGGTGGATTGGCCCAGCGACCGGAAGCTGCGCCGAGAGCCCAGGGCGTGCCCGGCGGTCCCTCACTCCAGTTGGCGGACGAACAGCGGGAAGATCATCTAGGTCCCCCAGCAGTGCCCGTTTACCCTTTTTTGGGGCAGGGTTCCCCCACTGAAACAGACCACAGAAAAAAAAGGGTACCCTTATTCTAACCCCTCTACTGGAGGATCTTGTCATTTTAATCAAGTAGAAGTTTGTGTGTTTTTCTCCGAAGCCAGTCAAGTCAGGAGCCTTTCAGGGGTTGGTGGTGACTTTCATTACCAAAGAAAGTGTTCCCTATGTTGGAGACACCCGTGTTTTTTTCTTTTCCTTTTTTTTTCTCGCCGTCTCTCTGATGCGGCTATGAATTTGAATAGTAGGGAGCCCCCAAAAAAGTGGTTGGTGCATACAAATCCCCACCAAACTGATGTCCACCAAAGGGTCCCCAGTCGATGTGCGCTGATCACTTGGAACTCGCAGCGCCAAGCTGACAGCTGACCTTGGAAGGCAAAGCTGACGGAGAGGCTGCCAACTTGCTTTTGGAGTGCATATGGGTGTGTCTTTTGTTTGAGGCTGCCCTTTTTGGTGATCTTGAAGGGAAACCAAAAGGAGAACCGCCTGTTTGATGTGTTCTCTTGTTTTTTCTTCGGGGGGGAGGCCCCTTCAAAAAGACACACTCATATGTAATGATTCGAACTGACTTGCTGGTGATGGGAACTTTTTTTCAGGGTTGCTCTTGGAAAGCAAAGCAAGACTTGCGCAGATGTTCCATGAGGCAAACCCACTGGAGCATTTCGCGTTCTCGCTGAGGCGATATCCGAGCTGGATATCCGTGTCTTGGCCGTTTTTTGGGTCTCGCATGAGGCCTAGGCTGTGACGTACCAAATAGGAGCACCTTTTCGCCAAAATGAGGGGTAAGTAAGTCATACCTGCCGTACTTCTGCTTTGAGGTCACAATGGACTAGGGTTTGTGGGAATGTGCGAATGGTAATTTGCGGTTGAAGAGGACCTTTGAGTTGGGGGGGTCCAGTTTTGGTGTGGCCATGTGTCACAGTTAAACTCCCTCTTTTCCTGCGAATGGTCAACCCCTCAACAGGACTGCGGTTCCTAGCGAGGGAATTTTATGTGAGCAGTTGTGACCGTGGCTCAAGACCAGATTTACCATTTAGAAAAAATCTGCTTGTGGGCTTCCCTCTCAATCCAAGCGAGGTTTGCCATTTGACCCCTGGCTTCCGCTTTTGGAGGGGCCGTTTGGTCTCGAAATCGATCCATTTTTTGTGTGGGCTAGGTCCCTCAGTAGTAGTAGTGCCCGGGAGGGTTCCCCTACTAAAAAAAGACTACAGAAAAAGAAGTTGGTACCCTTCTTCTAACCTCTCTACAGGAGGACCTAGGTGGTGTCCCATCCCATTGTTTTAGCAATGGGAATCCACTCCACACGACCCACCCCGGCCGCTCGCCCAGGCTCTGCAACACCGGGGACCTTTTGCGCGGTGAGGACTTGGGGGCCTTGAATGAGAGGTGGCAAGGGACTGGAATAACCTGAATTTTGGGTTCCCTCCATTTGCTTAAGAATATGTTTTGGTTTTCCACTGCTGGTTTTAAAAGGAATTCATCACTACTGGAAATATCTGTCTTTTTTGCTTCCCTTTGAAAGGGAGGAGTTTGTTCAAACACGTTAGATGGGTTTGGCCCCCCGCGCGGTGGGCAAGTTTCAGCACCTTGGAATCGCCATGGATTTCCGTACCATCAAGCAAGCGGTAAAATTAACTGAAAGGAAGCCAAAGATATGTGGTTTGTGTTTTTCGATATGTGGGTTGCCGATGTTGCGAGTTTTCCCCGAGGTTTCCCTTTTGGGACTTTTGAGAAGGTCTTGGAGCGGCGGAATGGTTTTGGGAAGAGCCACAGGCAAGCTGGGGGTTGGCCGTGCATGTTGCGTTAGCCCCTCACAGTTTATATGGATGTGGCTTTTTGTTTAGCTTAACCCTTCTTCTGGTTTCTAAAGGAAAACCAAAAGGGAGACCACCGTTTGGGGCTAAAAACAACGAGCCACTCGTATGGGTTTGTCTCAAAAAGACGAAAGGAACCATACCATTTCAAGTTTCTGCCATTTTAAGACCACCCACTTCCCTCGTGTGCCAGCCTCTTGCTATGCGGTGCCCTTCAGCGCTCACTGCCATCGCAGCTGGCAGTAGAGGAAGCTTCTCTGAGCACGCATTCATTGGTGGGCAGCTTCAGTATGGCCTGCAAGCTTTGGAACTTTGGAATCCCCACCAAACTGTGACAGGTTTCCGTAGGTTTGCAAAAATGGCAGCATCAGTGTGAGTCCAGACCAAAGCCATGTAGCTTTCCAAGCGCTAGGTGTTCCAACCAGCTTTACCCAGGGTTCTTTCTGAAAAGGACACCTAGAAATCGCTTGTGACCGGCCTCGCTCGTATGCGAGCTGTTGCCCGATCGTGGAAGCTCCCGGCCCCAGTGCTGCGTATGGCAACTGCGAGCTCCGTGCCGACCTGGGAGAGTCACTACGTCAACGGCCGGCGCGGGGCTTATCGGCTTAGCGACCTAGTGCCATGAGGGAGGGGCACGGCACTGGCGATGTTTCGTCAACGAAGGCGTCTTTCTAGAGGGAATTGGCACTCTGCCCAAGGTGAAGAGGTCAAAAGCTCAGAAAGGGCAACCAAGGCAAGGGCCAGTGAGCTGCTCACAACTCGCCAACGAGAAGGGGATTGGGGAAACTGCTCAAGTGAGGCTTCGCCGAGGTATAGTTCTGTTTGTGATGGCCGGTTGAATGGTTCAAGGCATTTCAACATTCAGGGAAAACGGTCAGAGATTCAAGCAAGTGTCGATAGTGATTGGCCTGACAGCTTGCCCCCATTGCTTCATTTCTGGCCCAGGCGTCTCGCTCAAAAAGTTCAGTTGCACTACTCGCGGCCTTGTCCTTTGGAAGGCACTTCTTTTGATAGAACAGAAGCCGAAAGGAGCGGTGCAGAAAGCTTTATTTGTTGACAGCGAAAGACAGCTACCCCGAATTCGTGTTGCGTCCCCCGGCCCAACTGGGGAGCGCTGAAAACAAATACCGCGCTGCGAGGTGGCAACCGTCTGCCTCGGGGAAGTTCTTCGATGTCACGGACTCCAACACCGGCCAGGCCCATGTCTCCAGATTTCCAAAAGGTCACGCTGGTGCTTGCAGAGAAGCCAAAAGGAGAAGCCATCCATGTTGAGAGCTGGGAGTCATGAGCTCATATCTGTGGCCCATGTCTTGTTCTTTCGGCGATTCGGATTGTGTGTTTGTGTGTGTGTGTGTTTGTGTGATTTTGTTCCTGGTGAGAGGAGGGGGAAGGGTTCCCTCTGAAATTGGCTTTTGAAGCGAAAAGGGCACGTTTCCCCTTTTGCCCCTGAAATGTCACCTGCCGGGGTATGCGGATCGATTTTCCTCCAGCTCGAGTGACGTTTTTAGCTTGGAATTATGGAAATATAGTGAGCCCTGAATATGCACAATTGCCAGGTGACACCTTTATTTCTTGGTTTGTTTTTTCCGTTAAACAGACATGGCCAGTCAAATGGCTGGAACTGCTGGAACGCATCGGCAGGCGGATGGCAACCACCTTAAAGCAAAGCAGGGGTTTTCATTAAGGAACCATGATCACGACAAAAGCATGTCAAAAGGATTTTCGACCAAACTTTGCGTGGCTCTTTCGTGACCCCTTTTACAAGGGAACATAACAGTTATTAAAAGCTACTCTCAGTTGTTCAGTGGCACCAATTCTTTTTCCCTTTTTCTTCTGTAGCTGCCCCACTAAAAGAGGTCTTCCCCAAAAAGGGTGTCCCTTTCTTTTCCAGGGTCACTGAACAACTGAGTAGGTGCCAAGACCCCTTTCTGGTCTGAAGTTGCTCATTCAGTTACCCCAATAGCACCGGCCAGTCCAACTGTCGCACCTGCGAGGTTTGCGCACGGGTGCCGGCCGGAGGCAGGGCCTCGTCGCTTGAGGATACTACTATCCCGCAACCTCCCCCCATGATAATATGGTTCAGCTCATTTTGAGACAGGCCCATACTGCCCTTTTGTCGGCAAGTGTTTCTGTGGTTTTGCCCTATTGTTGAGCTGCGCATGGAAAACTTGGATGAGTCCCGACATAGGGGGCACAAAAGCTAATTGGCATGCTGTGGAGAAGATAACCTATTCATTTCCATCATGCACGCCAAGGAAATCCCGCATGGACCTGTGCTTCAGCTCACCCCGGTGGTGCAAGGAGTAGAACGACAACACCTCATACCAAATCATGGGAAACTCATTCCATACGTGGCGTTGTTCCTTCAAAGGCTGAATGAATGCCATCCATGAACCAATGGCCGTGTTAGGCCGTTTTGGTGGCTGGTTTCCTTCGAGAAAGCCTCAATGGTTCATGCACCGGTAAGTTGGGGGGTTAGCAGCAGGGTCGCTAGCAGTCTCTGTGGGAGGCGTGTGATGTGATGAATGCGATCAAATGCATCGCATTGTTGCCCCTATCGATGGCATCCACAGGCGCTGGTTGGAATCTCATCGCCACATCGTGTTGATGCCACAAAGATTCACCTTTTGCCAACTCTTGAACAGATCAGGGTTGGCTGCCGTGTTTTCCATAAGTGGAACTATGTGACCCCCACTATCCCAAACCTCCCGAGTGTTCAAAGGCACTGGCAGTGCTTGGAAGCATCAGAGCTGGTGGCAGTGTGTACAGGTGCTGCAGTTTGAGTAGTTCCAAAAGCAAACAATCTCAACGGTTGGCCAAGAATCTTGTCCCACCTGTGGGTGAACCTATTACGCTGCATGCCTTGAAGTGCCTTGAGAACTCGGAGCAAAACAAAAAGTAAACAACTCCACAAGTCAGGGGTTTATACACTAGGTCCCCCAAAGTGCCCTTTTCCCTCTTTCTTTTGGGGGGGTTTTGGGTTCCCCTACCAAAATAGACTACCGACAAAAAATAAATCGGGTACCAACTTGTTCTACCCTCTCAAATCTGGAGGACCTAGTACGACAAAGGTCCCTTCAGCCTTTCGAATTTCCGGCTTCTGAGCGGCGCCCAGGCGCTGCGGAGGTGGATACGGCCGTGGCGGCTGCGCGACACGCGTTTGTGGCTTGGGTCAGGCACCCAGCGTGTGGATGCCGTTGAGCCCAAACCCCTTGAAGCGCCAGTTAGCCCGAGAATGGACCACGTGCCCCATGTGGTACCGCGAAAATTGGGCAAGATCTGGGAAACAAACCAGAAGTAACACTCTTTGTTTGACTGTTGGCCATAAGGTGCGTCTTTTGTAGGGGACCCTCCAAGATGGTGATTGTTCTTTGGGTTTTCTTTTAGTCAACTCCAAAAAGGACGGACCCATAAAGGGACACCAAGTTGGCTCCGCAACCTCCGAAGATTCCCTCAAGGAGTCAAGGGCCGCAACCAATACCCGGGTATGCAGATCAGAAAGGGATAGTCCCAGCCGCGCCATAAATTGGTGCAGAAGCTCGCCCTTGTAATTGTTTGCATGGTTGGAGGCCGTATTAGTACCAGGGGTTGAGAAGGGGCTCAGTTGTTTAGTGGCACCGTCCGTTTTTCCAACCGATAGGCTTATCTGCGACTCCGGAGACCCTCCGGACCTCCTGGAAAGGTTCCACGGCTCGCTGTTACTCGGGATTGGTGACTGACGCCTTCATAGTCAACGTGATTATTGAACATCTGTGCTACACCCTTTAAACCCAAAAAAAACACTATACCGTTTACATGTGTATCCCTGGGTAGACACACCAACGTCCCTTGTGTGTAACGTATGATTGCCATATTTGCAGAACGGCTCATCGCTTCATCGAGCACCTGACCTGCGCATCACCTGGTCTTTGGTTGTGACTGGCATGTTTATAGCATCATGCTCGGGGACAAAAGACAAAAACTGTTTCAACAGAGAAGCAAACCAAAAAAGAACCGGCTACAGTTGGGTGTCCCCCAATAAGGACCCCCCATTTCATTTGTGTTGTCATTGTGATCTATTTCCTTTGAAACCCGTCAAACAAGGCCCCGCCAGCATTTTTGACAACCATGATAACCCTCAGTTGGGCAACTGTAGGAAGTGAGCCCAGACCCTCGTGCTAATATCCAGTCCCCGCTTACGGACTTGATGCGGTCGACCCTTGTCGACGCAAACGCATCCTGGCCAAATCCTTTGGACGTGCTTGATTTCTTTCCTCTTTTTGCATGTTGCTTGGATGTTAGGACTGTAACTTTTTGCGACGAATCGGTTTTCCATTAAACCACTAAAAGCGAGTCACTTTTAGCAGGGGAGCAGAAAGCAGCCGAGTCTTTGCATCGGCTTCAGGCTGCCAAGCCGCTAGAGCAGCGCAAGGCCTTGGATGCGAAGCGCCTTTCTCACGAGTCGGGATGTTGCTTGGTTGGTTGCTTGGTTCCTTGGTTGCTTGCTTTGGTTCAGGATCTGAGTAGTTGTTGTTGCGCCCAGAGCTGTATGAATGACCAGCCCGCGTTTGTGTGCTGTGCATCGATTTGTTCAAAATGGAGGGCGCCTTCCTTTTTAGTACCAGAAAACACCGCAGCTACCACATGGTTTATAAAGTGTGGAGCCATTGGGACGGCATGCTGCCAAGGTGCAAAAAGGAAAGGACAATTGCAAACACACCTCGTTGTTGTCGAAAGGCACGTCCGGCAAAAACAAGAACGGGAAACCGCTGTAAACGGATAATGAACACCACAACACATTGTTTTTGGTTTGTTTGATGCGTGTAGGTGTCCACACCAGCGAACTAAACCTGCCACAAACCATCCAGTAGAGGGGGCCTTTCTCACAGATGATTTAGACCACCGTGGTAAGAGCTTATTCCTCTAATGGGTGTTCGACCGCCAAGTTTTACAACAATTGCATTGAGGGCACCATGACCATGCCCCCAACTGGTTGAACTTTCACCTGGGCACACATGGGCCAAGCAAAAGCGGCACAAAGTGAGCCAACAGTCTCGAAAGCAAGCTTAGGTGAGATTATTTTCAGGAATTTAAGAGGCCGGTTGCGAGTGGTCGATGCTATAGCTTTGGGATGCTCAATTCCCCAGAGGCCCTGTAGGTTTCTCCTGTAGGGTTCTCCTTTTAATCATGTTTTGCTTACAGGGAGTTCCCTTTGAACTCCCAACAACTTATACGGCTACCTTCCCCATTCTTTCCGGGATCCTTCTTTCTAGACAACCTCCGGAAACCCAGGGAAAACGGCCGGTTTTTGGAAAGAACGATGGTTGAAAAGAATGGTTGGAATCAACCCCAGGAGAACAGGCGCCTTTGTTCCATGACCACTGGAGGTCTGGGGAATCCTTCTCCGCACGCAGGTGAGTGGAATCCATGTGATTCAGCATATTAATATGACTCTAACCGGCAACTTCTGGCCAACGTCCCCAGTACTTCCCCTAACAAGGGGAGCATGGCTGGCCCACATTGTTTTATCATGAACTTCCAAATAGAGGGGCCGCCATGAAAGGCAGTTTTACTGTTTGTATCAGTTTCAGCCAACCAAGAACCGGCCCAGGGTACCCTCAGAAACACACATGCCCAAACAATGATCACGAAGGGTTGAAGAGTTCTTTTCGGATTCACCCATTTGTTCGGCCTTTCTGGCCATTCTGACCAGCGTGCATCGTGCCTTCCGCGTGGCCTGACAGGAAGTCCTGCAGAGAGTGCTGGAGAGATGGGAGCACAAGAAGGCCAGGGGCGTTGTTTCTCATGTCAACATGTCCAGCAGTCTCTGGTCAATATGGGAGGGAATTAGGGCCACCACATTTCCCACCAAACACCGGGGGACTCACTATTTTTGACCATGGCTCACGTTCCAATTGAATGTTTGGCTACTGGTCAGTTTCCGTTGTTTTGGGAGGGATTTATTTGGTTTCCTCTTTGTTTGATCATGTCTTGTTCAGTCATTTTGGGGTGTCCTCTTGGTTTGCAGTTGCTTCCCCTTCCGCTTTCTTTTTGGTTTCCTTATGCTTGCTGCAGTAAGTCCTAAACGCTACGCAGACGGAGGGGCTTGTTGCAGCCTTGCCCGTTGAGCTCGTGGAACCTTCGCATGCCTTGGGGCGAGATGTTTGCCGGCCAAATGAATGGTCTCACTCCCCAAACGTCGTTCATCCCGAACTTTGACTTTCACAGCCATTCGCCCAATTCCACCTGCTCGGTGTATAGCTTCACTTCACTCTCAGTCAGCACCTCGTGGCCGGCGAAACGACTGCCCCCGGGCCTGGGATACTTGTTTCGAAACTTCCTTTCTGGGGCCGCCAGTTGCTATGGGTGGACGAAATATGACCACAGCATCTGAGGACACGTCTTTCCTTTTTTTTTGGGGGGGACCCCCCAAAACCGGCGGCTTTCCTCCCGGGTCAAACCTTTCAAGGAGCTTGGGGGGCGTATGCCTCAGGCGGCCGCAGTGCGGTGGCTGCTCAAAGAGCTCGGCTGCAACGTGAAGTTCGCCCGGGCGGTGCAGGTGGGCGCTCGGGCTACATTGCAGGGTCTGGCCACCCACATGGGCGTGTCCTAAAATCGGCGGTTTGCGATGTGTTGTCCCTTCCCAAAAGGGTAGCCAAAACCATGGGGCCCCCACAGTCAGGGAATATTTAATGAGGAGCCAAGAAGCCGGGAGTATCCATTCCCCTACCTACCAGGAGTTCTGGCGTATGGTCTACCTTTCACATGGGACAAATCTTGGTATGGATTGGGAGCGTAGTGACACGTTTTGCTCCGAAAGATGACACCTTATAGGCCGAATTCGCAGCTGTCGAGTTGCCCTAGCCCGAAGGAGGTCATTTCACCGGCCATCGGCTGGCTTTTTGGGTGAGTCCTGGTAGAAAGTTGGTTCGTTTTCCTTTCAGAACGGCTCCTGGGTGTGTGTGTGTGCCTAAAGTCTGGGTGACCTGTTTCTGGCGTTATGATTCTCTTGGCTAAAGGTAAAGCAAGCACCAGCATGGTGGTTTTTCAAGCTGGTTGGCATCTTGTTGGCTTCATTTTACCGCCAGCCGGGGTCGGCAATCCTCTGACGAACAAGAAGGCTTCTGTTCAGTTTGTTTTTCTCGGGGACCGATGCGTTGGCCGATCTCGAACAGGTTCCAAGCTGAATCGGACTGGCGTTTTACGTATGCTTCCCTTTTTAAGGACCGGGTTGAATTGAATCTGATGACCGCGGGTCTAACGTCCTGGAGCTAGGAGTCGCTCGGGCCATGTGCCTGGGGAAGGGACTTCTTGCGCATGGCTCACGTTTGGAAATGCTGGCGGACTTTAAGCCCTCCATTCCTAGCCCTTAACCCTTCCTATTGGCAGGTGGTACTCCCTATTGAGAGACATTTATTCCAATTGGTTAAGAACATTTTTTGTTTTCCCCTGTTGGTTTTAAAAAGGAATTTATCACTACTGGAAATGTGTTTTTTTGCTCCAGGGGATTTAAGCAAATGTAGGATTTGGTTCCCAAGACCACGTCACCGCTGTAGTGAGCTACTTGTCGGCTTCGTGAGTTCAAGGGTCTCCTTATTTCGTGGCAGGCGCGCTGCCCCTCTCAGGCTTGCTCTCATCCGGTTTGTCTAATCGGGAACCCAGTTTCGCCTTTCTAGGTCCCCCAGGTGCCCTTCTCTCCCCGTTTCTTTTTTGGGGTTTCAAGTTTTGGGTTCCCCTACTAAAATAGCCAGAAAAAAGAAACGGTCGCCTATTCTACCCTCTCAAATCTGGACCTAGCCTTGCTCTCCCTTGGGTTGTCCATTGGCTCGTTTCCCATTTCCCACTCGCAGGTGATGGCCGTGAACCTGCACCTTGGCACCTGCCAAGGCCTCGAGAAAGTGGTTGGCGGCACCGAGCTTGGACGTCCAGGGGGGTGTTCTTGTGTGTGTGTGTGTGTGTTGTTTGTTTGTTTTTTGTTTTTCTCCTTTTTTCTTTTTTTTTCTTCTTCGTAATACACCATACTACCATTTCCCTAGGGGTTTTCTTGGTTCATCCGCCATGTTTCTCAGGGGTTTCTTTTGCTAGTCAGCTAAACAAGCCACAAGTCCTAGGGAGAACAGCAAAGCAATGATTAGCGAATTGCCACAGGAAAGCAAAGATTCCAAGGTGTTCGTGGCCGCCAGACTTCTCCCCAAGATCCTTGGATTGTTTTCTTGGTCGAGGCAATGCAGGGCATCGAGAGCTGTGCAAGCTGGACGTATCTACCAAGTATTTGCTTGTCAGGCAATTGCTTTTAAGTCCCAATGCAACCTTGGTGCTTTAGAGCTTGAGGTGGGTCGTGGGGTAAGACAAAACATATTTGTGGAGTCTATGTTGTATACATACACATCAAGGTTGCATAATATATATATATATACATATGCATGCATACATACATATGGTACCCCTTTCCCAAAACCTACCTTTTTTTAGTTTTGAGCTGCGTTTTGTCCCTGCTCATCAGAAAGCACAAAAACTAGCATTCCCCACCAAACAACGTCAAGACGTAGCATGTGTGGCTTTCTAGTTTATTGTGGATGTCGCGCAACATTCCCTACATGTTGGGCAACAAAACAACCAACCAAGACAAACAACACGTCACAGCCACGCTGTTGGTAGGAATGTTTTGTTTGTTTTGTCTTGTGGCCTGGTGAACATGTTGCGCAACATGTTCCAATGTTGCGAACAAGCTAGAGAACCCACAAACTAGAAGCAAACAACAAAACACATCGACAATTCACAACATTCCAGCCATGATCGGGGTATTTGTTTTGGTTCAGTGGTTCTCTGGGAATGTTGGGTATCATGCCCAAAATGTTACACCACATTTTGTTGAAATCGCAACGGAGCAAAACAACAAACAGCCAAAATACGAGAAAAGGCAGAACAAACACAGTCCAGCCATGGCAAGCGCAATATGTTGTTGCGCTTTGGTCCAGCGGCTCTGTGGGAATGTTGGGCATCATGTGCAAACTGTTGAACAACATGTAGGAGTTGTCCGAAAAGTCCTTGTATCCAGATATGAAGGGGATGACCTTTTTCTTTTAGTGTTGCCCTCCTCGAAAGCTTCGCTATGGAGGTCCTTGTTTTTTCCCCTCGCCTGAAAGTAGGGCGGTTTGTTAAAAGGAGGACGTACTGTAAATGATGAACCATGTGTATTTGCCGGCAGCGCATGGAAGGCACAAAGTTAGTCGGAGGAAAGCGCGGCCTGAGGAGTGCTGCACAAAATGCGTCGTTGCAAAGGCAACCCCCAGCAGAAAGCAGCTTGTTGGAGTTTTGAAGCTTTCGGGTCCAGTGGAGTCCCAGCCGGATTTTCGGTTCCACCTTCCCGCCATGGGTGGCCAACGGGTCCCCTCCTGTGCTGCTGCACGGCTTTCGGGCTGGAGCTCTTTCTGTACTACTGGAGCTGAGAAGTAGCGACTTTCGATCTGGGGCTGCGGACGTTTACCTCGTGTACTGCTTTCGTAGAGGAAAGTTGGGGCTTTCCAACCAGGCTGCGGACGTGTACTTCGCGCACAACGTTTGTGATGAATGTTGTGAAAACTGCCCTACGAAAGATCCGCCATGGAGGCCACGAAAGTTGTTTTTTCTCCGCGAAGATGTTGTTTCCAGGAACAAAGATTTTCGGGCAACCGCCATGTGGCTAAAATCGCCATGGACCAAACAAAATGTTGCGCAACAGTTGCGTGGTTTCCCGTGGAATTCTACCCGCCCGGGCCCCAAAACCGGAGAAAAACTGGACAAGAGCACGTTGCAAGAGCTATCGTGAAGGCCAAACACATCATCACATCAGCCCGGAAGGAAAAAAAGGAAGGGTTGATCAGCAAGAGACTGAAGTCCAACAACCCAGCGGCATGGCCCACAATAGGCCGGGCACCCAAGTCCAGGAGAGCAGGGGCTAAGGCGTGCTTAAGCTACCTCATCACGAAAAAGCAAATTGCCGGCGCCAAGTCAAAAAGCCGTCGCAAGGACAAAGCCGCCTTCACCCTAAGTTATGCAGGGATTTTCTGCCAGAAGAATCTTCTAGGAATGAAAGTTTTTGGTCCCCTTTTTGATCAGCCTGTGAGCTCATCCTGTCTGGCAAAAGGCATGCGCCGGGGATCTGCAAGCTGATTCAAGGTGCTGGAAAAAGATGCCGGGGAATCTTGAATCCAGTGCTAATTGGGTAGGTCCTACCGGGTAGGTTTTGGGTCCAGGGTAGCGTATATAATATATACATATACATATGTTACGTATATATATATATATATAATATATATATACATGTATAGAAGTGGTGTGTATATGCATATATGCATATTAGCCCATTTCCATATGGATGTATTCACGGAAATCATGATTTTATTTTCATGTTTGTGTCCAACTTTCCCCTTGACCTCCCCTGCTGCGGGGGTTGGCGCTTCCACTGAGAGTCGCTTGCTGGGCTCTTAGGCCTTCAGCTGGTGGACGCCGTGAAGTTCCAGGAAAAGATGCCGATGGGCACCCTGGTGCCGGCCTCCGAAATTCGCTCCGGAGACGGGTGTCCGAGTCAGCCAGACATCTCTGATCTTTTGGGGGCTCCATGGAAAGTTGTATGTTTCTGTGTGCTCATGTTGTTGCTGTTATTATTTTTGTGGCGTGTGTGTGTATGTGTGGTGGGTGCGTGCGGGCAGGCGTGCGGGCGGGCGTGCGGGGGGGGGGGGGCGTGCGGGTGGGCGGGCGGGCTGGCGTGCGGGCGTGCGGGCGTGTGTGTGGGAGGGTGTGTGATTGTTTTTGGGCTGTGTGTGTGTGCCTGTATCTGTGTTTGTCTGCGCGTGTCTGTGTCTGTGTGTGTTTGTGTTTGTGTTTGTGTGTTTGTGTGTGTTTGTGTGTCTGTGTCTGTGTCTGTGTTTGTGTGTGTTTGTGTGTTTGTGTGTGTGTGTGTTGGTGTGTCTGTGTCTGTGTCTGTGTCTGTGTGTGTGTGTGTGTCTGTTTGTGTCTGTGTCTGTGTCTGCGTGTGTGTGTGTGTGGGTGTGTGGGTGTGTGTGTGTGTGTGTGTCTGTGAGTGTGTGTGTGTGTGTGTTTGTGTGTTTCTGTGCCTGTGTGTGTGTGTGTGTGTCTGTGTCTGTGTCTGTGTCTGTGTCTGTGTCTGTGTCTGTGTCTGTGTCTGTGTCTGTGTCTATGTCTGCGTGCGTGCGTGCGTGCGTGCGTGCGTGCGTGCGTGCGTGCGTGCGTGCGTGTGTGCGTGTGTGTGTGTGTGTGTGTGGGTGTGTGTGTGTGTGGGTTTGTCTGTGTGTTTTTCTGTGTCTGTGTGTGTTTGTAAGTTTGTGTTGTGTGTGTGTGTTTGTGTGTGTGTGTTTGTGTTTTTGTGTGTGATTGTGTGTTTGTGTGTGTGTATGTGTGTGTGTGCGTGTGCGTGTGCGTGGGTGTGGGTGTGCGTGTGTCTGTGTCTGTGTCTGTGTGTCTCTGTGTCTGTCTTTGTGTCTCTGTGTCTGTGTGTGTGTGTGTCTGTCTGTGTGTGTTTGTCTGTGTGTGTGTGTGTCTGTGTGTGTGTGTGTGTCTGTCTCTGTCTGTGTCTGTGTGTGCGCCTGTGCCTGTGCCTGTGCCTGTGTCTGTGTCTGTGTCTCTGTGTGTGTGTCTGCTGTGTGTCTGCTGTGTGTCTGTGTCTCTGTGTCTCTGTGTCTCTTTGTGTCTCTTTGTGTCTGTGTGTTCGTGTGTGTCTGTGTGTCTGTGTGTCTGCGTGTCTGCGTGTCTCTTTGTCTCTTTGTCTCTGTGTCTCTGCGTCTCTGCGTGTCTGTGTGTCTGTGTGTCTGTGTGTCTGCGTGTCTGTGTGTCTGTGTGTCTGTGTGCCAGTGTACCAGTGTGCCTGTGTGTCAGTGTGTCAGTGTGTCTGTGTGTCTGTGTGTCTGTGCGTCTGTGCGTCTGTGTGTCTGTTTGTCTGTCTGTCTGTCTCTGTCTCTGTCTCTGTGTCTGTCTCTGTCTCTGTCTCTGTCTGTGTCTGTGTCTGTGCCTGTCCCTGTGCCTGTGCCTGTTCCTGTGTCTGTGTCTGTGTCTGTGTCTGTGTCTGTGCTTGTGTTTGTTTAAGGGTTCGATGCGCGGGTACAAAGGGTAACCCAAAGGAAAGCCTTAGTTTGCAGGGGGTCCGAATCCTTGTGTTGAGGAGAAATTCCCACATTCCAAACGATTTGCGAAAATGGCTAAGCGACCTCCTGGCGTGTTTGGTGGCCATTCGACAACCGTTGGAGGAGGTCTGGTAGGTGTGCGTTCGCTTAATGGAGTGTTGTTTTGTGAGTTGGTACCCTTGAAAGACCTTGATAGCGAAACCAAAAGCAAACCAAGCATTGCGGGGGTACCTCTTTTCGACACAAACCCAAATGTGTCGGCTCGGGGCAAACCACACATGGAATCAACCTGCAAGAGTTGCGGTGCTCCGGGCCAAAAATCCAAGAGCTGAGGCTCGTCATTTCCTGGTGTGAAGGGATGCCAAATGGAAGCCAACATGAAACCGACCACCCGGAGGTGCTGCGGGAGCCCATCGGCGTGGTGGGCTGCAGCTTGGCCCCGAACATCCATTCTACAGTTGAGAGTGCCCAACACTCCATTGGCCGTTTTTGGTAGAGGGGGGACTTCGATCTCGCTTCTTGGGGCTACTACCTTGGTGTCTTCAGGGTTGGCGAATATGAACCTTACCATCTCGGCAGCGCCAAAGTCGATGGGCTGTGCACACTGCTCAATTCTGAAGAGGTCCATGGCCCAATGCAAGCTCACCATGCAGCACCAGACTCCAGTAGATCTGCCATGCACAAATAATGGGTCAGTTTGCGTCACAGGTCCCCGATCACGTCTTCCCTCCCACTGAATGTGAGGTATCACTCCGTGGAATTACCCGCTGAACCAGATTGTGCAGCACTCAGACTTGGTGGGCTCCAACTGTGTAGGCATACCCGGATACTCTCAGTGAAACCTTAAAGGCGCGCATTGTGCCAACTTAGTTGGGGAAAAGGTACGCTGGGATTGGAGTGAGAGCGGCATGGCGCTTTCTTCCTGCAGAGCGCGTCATGGCGGTGACGGGATATCCAATATTACGGGAGATGCAGAACGGGCAGACCTGTTGGATGATTTTCCTAGTCAAATCAAACATGAAACAACTAGTTTTGGGTTCCCCAATTTTAGGAACTGCCCATTTGTTGAACTGTGATGGCGCTGTCTTCAAATGAAAGTCAGCCCGCTGAGAACAGCCCATGAAATGACCTTTGGTCCGGTCACAAGAATCGTGTCTCTTCTGAAACATATGGCGTAGCGCGTTTCAACTGAGTACTTTCAAGGTCCCAACCACGTAACCCCAGGCCAGTAGGGAGTGCCTGTGATATACATTCAACAACTTGTATATATATATATATATGTATAAACATGTTATAATTACCAAGCAGACTCCAAGAAAGAAACAGTAGATCATGGGAGGGAGCTGCCCATGTATATACATAGATATTTATATTTATATGCGCATCCTCTACATGCCCGTTACCTACAATGAATGAATAAAGGCATTGTATATGTGATGTATGTATTCATACATGTGCCTCACCGGTCCCCCATTTGATTTGAAAAGCCTTGGATTGTGTGAGTGCTGCATCATGTATATATGTAGCACTAATCATAATAACAATGATAATGATAATACACGTAGATCGATCATGAAAATTGGAGCCCCGATTCGCAGTCTTATGGTCTTTTTTCGGGGACACTCAACAAAAACCGTGTGGGTTGTCCTTTTGGCTTGCCTCAAAAATCACGAAAAAGGAACATCCTCGAAAAATGACACACCCACATGTCCATGCTTGGAGGCCGTTTTTTGGACCCTTTATTAGGCGCCCCCCCCAACCAAAAATCAAAACGATTTCAGCGGATCGAGGCTGCGAAGATCTTCCCGGCCATGTTGGTGGGCTGCACGGTGGTGCTAAAGCCCAGCGAGGCGCGCGCGGGGGCGCGCGCGAAGGCGCAACGAAGCCAGCGGAGCGTAGTCAAGGCGAATCAGGGCCTGGGGGGTTGTTATCTTCTATGTTTCCTGGGCCAGGGGGTTACTTTTTTTTTTTTTTTCTTTGTTCTTCTTCTTCTTGCTGCTGCCGCGCAAGCTGGGATCACTCCAAGCGCACGGGGTTCCGTTGCCGGGAAGCGCGCAGGAGCTGAGGCTATCGTTTGGGTGGAGGGGGGCCAACGAAGGTGGCGACGGAACGTTCGTAGGGAACACCCTCAACGTCGTTGGGGGGGGGGAGGGGGGACATAAATCGGGTCCACCAGCGGGTCCAGAATCAAGATTGGCGACAATGGGTATATGTATATATATATATATATAAGCAACAACGGGAACCCAGGATGAATAAACCCATGGTTGATGAATAGGGCGTGTCCGAGTTTAAGGTTTCCTTTATGTCATCCAGGATCCAAATTTGAACACCGGTCTGATCCCGGCCGCCCCTTTCAGCCGCTTCTGGCCATGCTTTGGGGCGGTGTTGTCTCCGAACGGGATATTGAACCCCCCTGCCCGGCCCCCCAAACCCCCCCCCCAAAAAAAAAAAGGACGGTTCCCCCTTGCCCCGCCTTGGACCCTGCAAGAGGCCCCCCCAAAAAGTCCACATATCGCAGCGAGCCCCTGGAAGCTCGGGAACTCGGCTCGCACGCGCGCATCACGCAGGTCACCCCCATGTGCGCCTACCTCCTGGCGGAGGCCATCCATGAGGCGTGCTCCGAGTTTCATGGGCTCCATCCGGGGGTGACGTCGAGAGGTCCCCGAGAATTTGGGCCCACGTTTATTCCGTTTCTTTTTGTTGGTTGGGAGGGTTTTGGCTAAAATAGACTACAGGGAAAAGTTACGGTACCCTCAAATTCTAACCTCTCTACTGGAGGACGTAGTGGCTGATCACTCGGGGTTTGTCCCCCGAAAGTATTTGTGATACGTGTGGTGGGATGACTCGGGGATGATCCGCCACTTCTGTGGCACTTTTGGGAATCTTCCTATGGGGATAGGTTAGTCTTTGGGGTTAGGCCCTGGCTGTTGTCTCACAGAAGTGGATTCCATTTCAGCCACGGCCCTGCACTTCCATCCCTTGTTCAACCTTGGTCTCTCTTCGGTGGTTCCTCGCCCGAAATGGGAAGGTCGCTTTTTCGTTTCTGTAGGTTCCTTGCAAAAGGTCTAATCAACAAGGGGGTTCCGACAGAGTCACTGGGCAGCTTGATGTGCTAATTGGATGTTGGTTGATTTTAAAGGGAAGCAAAAACGAAACCAGGCATGTTTGGGGTTCCCCCACTTCGGAGTTCCCCATCGCAAATGAGAAAAATAGGGGGCCAACACAAACTCTGGGTCCTCTCCTGCAGATGAACGACAGCAACCCCAAAGAGGAATAATTTATTAGCGGACCTTAAAGAAAACTCCCGTTTAAACCAAAAAACCCTTTGGTGGCTTCCATGTTAATTTGCCGGGGGTTCTCTTTGCTGACCTCAGGGATACTTGCAATGGTAATATGTGTTACCAGGTGTCTGAAAATGACGCACGCATACCCAAACGGGTGGGTGTTTGAATGCGCTTCAACGCAATACCCCCAACAAAGAAAGGGGGGCTAACATGACCCCCCCGCTCCAAAACAAAACAACACATACCAAATTCCTCCTTCCCCCCCCCCCCCCCGACCCCCCGCCCCCCCCTAAAAAGCAACATGGAATGCCATGGGTTTACTTCAAATCCACCTCTCACCGATGGGATTTGGGCTTGTGTCAAACTAGGTGGGACCCCCCCAAAAATAGAGATGTTCCTTTTGGTTCCCGGTGAATCAAGGTGAAAAGGGTACCCTCAAAGACACGAACCCAATTGCCAGGCAGAGGTCCCTGCCGGGGTTTTCAACATGGTCCTCGGGGACGGTCCCGGCTGCGGAGAGGCAACCCGAGCGAATTGGAGAGTTGAAGGAAGGACGGAGCGAGGGCTCCCTCCCAGCACCCCCAACTACTTTCTGCTGATTTACGTCCAAGAATCCTTTTGCTGTCGAAAAAAGGAGTTGAATGGTGCTTCTGCATAGGTGTGGTGAGAATAACTTTCCACTGATTTTAGGTTGGTCTACTCATCTCCTGCTTTGAGGTGAATTCGGTGAGTTCGGCTGCAGAACTCATTTCTGAGATGCTTGAGCGGGCTCTATTTTGGTCAAATTTCTTTATTTGAGCACTGGGGCGACAACATGTTGTGGTTCGGCGGCTTCATCTTTCCCGTTGGCAAGACGATTTTGCAAGGTAGGATTAAAGGTGTTTCATCAAAAGTTAGGAGCCCCTCCGTATGGTTGGGTTTTGAAGGGAAGCAGATGCAGATGCACCTTTTGGAGAGGCATTTCTGTTTGGAAAACATCCGTTTGTAGGTCCCCCAGTAGTGCCCTTTTACCCTTTTTTGGTGGAGGGTTCCCCTACTAAAATAGACTACACAAAAAAATCGGGTACCCTTATTCTAGCCTCTCTACTGGAGGACCTAGGTTTAGCCAGAACCGCTTTGCAGAATTTCTCTGATGTCAAAACAACTGCGGATCCCAAGTTCTCCACCCGATCGCCACGGTTTAAATGAGGGGGTCATGAGTGTCATAAGTCGTATGGATATGGCTGTGGGTCACAAAACGGTACCCAAAATGGAACGGTGGTAAATGGAAACATGGACTAAAAACCTGCGGTCCCCCTAGTGGTTTAATTTTGACCCACACGCATATGAATTCAAACAGAAAACCACCTCTAAAGAGGCGGGTGGACATGAAGCCCAACTTGAATGAGATCCACCAAAGAGTCCCGCAATAGAACTCTCACCCATCTAGTTTCACGCGTCAACAATGCGTTGGGCAACCACCTATCAAGGAAGCCATGTGGACCGACACGTGGGGGGCTTGACTATGACAAGCGTGTCCATTTACAGATACTATTTTCATCGGGCCTTTGGTAGAGAGTCACCAGTGGAGCGGGGGTTCCGAAACAGCTCGGGGTGATTTGACACCTAATAGCTGTATCCAGGCTTTGTGAGAAAAGAGGAAGCTCACAGTTCTTGACTTGAACTACATGATCTGCAGGCAGCAAGGCTTCCTGGGATTCTTCCCACGCTTCACGGTCTGCCGCTGTATGTGGTCTAACTCCTGTTGCTCAAACTCCCTTTGGCGTCTCTTCAACCAAATACCAACAAACACAAATTCTGGGGTCCAATCGTTCATCGAATGACCCCACCCTTTGAAACGTAAAATCGTCTTTACTGCGAGACCTCCGGCGCAGGCCCTTGCTGCCCATCCAGATGTGGACCTGGCAGCGGCGTTAGTTGCCATGAGTCGAAGGGTGATGTTACAGGGAAGATTGAAATGTGGCAAAACAGGGGGCCCCAAAAAGAATCAGCGACAGATTCGTGTTCGTTTGATTTCCCTGAAAACAAGGCGAACAGGGTACTGAGATTCAACAAGAAACAGAGACCGAGTGGAAGAACGCCTTGATCTAATTCTCGCATGGTCGCAGCCCCGTGGAAGGGCCCTCCAAATCCGAAGGGATTAGAACTGGGTATGGGTCAAAATTAACCGAAAAAGGGGAAGGCCCCCCCGAAATTGTTTGGGCCGCAGGTCAGCTTTACAGGCTCTACCCGCGCCGGCGGGGGACCCAGCAAATTCGCCTCAGGGGGAGAGGAATTCATATTGGAAGGCGGCAGTTTGCCATCACCTTTGGACTTTCTTGGAGTGATTCGTTGTCTCCTGTAAACCTAAGTTGTATTTTAGGACAGATAGATATGAATCAGAATCACCATCATTGCGACAGACGGTCGCATTTTGTTTAACATAACTCGGCGTGGCATGCGCATGAAGCAACTAATTGAGGACCAAAGGCAACTAATTCAGGATCAAAGACCAAATATCCGCAGGACGGGCAGTAAGTTAGTAAGTTAGTAAGCTAGTATGTTAGTAAGTCAGCAAGTAATTTAGCGCGTGGTGTGGAACTTGACGAAGTGGTAGTTAGCAAGTTAGTGGAGCAAGCTAGTGCACTACTACCACCCCCACCACCACCACCACCACCACCACTACAACTACTACTACGACTACTACTGCCACTACTTCCACTTCCACTACCACTACTACTACTACTGCTGCTGCTGCTGCTGCTACTGCTTCTGCTACTGCTACTGCTTCTGCTACTGCTACCGCTACTGCTTCTGCTACTACTAGTTTTTACCACTGCTACTGCTACTACTACTACTACTACTACTACTACTACTACTACTACTACTACCACTGCTGCACGTGTGGTTCGCCCAGAACCACTTTGGGCTTAGCTTGTCTCATTTCGGGTTCAGTTTAGGGCTTAACTTGCCCTCAAACCCTCCCGTGGGGTGTTGCCCTAAAACCCATACTTTAGGGTTCAGGTGTTGGGTTTCACTGGCAAGTTCAGGGTTCAGGTTTTGGGTTTAACTTGCCCTCAAACCCTCACTTTAGGGTTCAGGGTTAGGGTTCAGGTTTAGGGGCTTTCTTGCCCTCAAACCACCCGTTTAGGGTTTAGTTTTGGGGTTTAACCTGCCTTCAAACCGTGGAGAGCTTCACTTGTCACCTTCTAACTTTTGGGTGAGCCTAGGGCAGTCCCAGACAATGCACATAGTTACCCATCGAAAAGCCGCCCCCTGCGCAGTTGCACGCATCGGCGAAGGCTTGCCGATGTTCCTAAGGGCAGACCATTCGGTCTCAGGCACGGTTGTCTGAAACGGTGGCAGGCGCGAGGGAATCTGAGCGCGTGGGGCCCCCGGAAGAGAGTCTCCGGGCAAACCACAAACGCTGGCCGTACTACAACTACTACAACTACTACTACTACTACTACAACAACAACTACAACTACTACTACTACTAGAACAACTATGACTACTTCTACCGCTGATACTGCTACTACTATAACAAATACGACTGCTACTACTACTACTGGTTCTGCTACTGCTACTGCGGCTACCGCTACTGCTACTACTGCTACTACTAGAATTGTACTGCTGCTACTACTTCTGCTTCTACATCTACTTCTACTGCTGCTACAAGGCTTCTTCGTTTTCTACTACTGCTTCTGCTACTGCTACTACTACTACGACTACCACTACTACTGCTAATACTACTACTACTACTACTACTACTACTACTACTACTACTAGAACTAGCAGCTACTACTCCAAGAACTAGCAGCTGCCACTACTACCGTCACAACTTCTACTGCTACTGCTACTATCACTACTACTTACTACTACCACTACCACTACCACTACCACTACCACTACCACTACTATTGCTACTACGACTACTGCTACTACATACACACTATCACTACTACTACTACTACTACTACTACTACTACTACTACTACTACTACTACTACTACTACTACTACTACTACTACTACACACTATCACTACTACTACTCCTACTACTACTACTACTACTACTGCTACTGCTACTGCTACTGCTACAGCTACTGCAAAAACGCGACACCCGCTGGCAGATTCATCCACAGGGTCAACGGCATCAACTTCCACCATCAGTGGATTCCGCCGTGCGGTGACACCGTGCTCACCTGTCAGCGTGTGGGCCCAGACGGTAGCCGCTTTAGCGCAGCTCGGAGAAAGTTTGATGGTCGACGACAGAGAGCTGCTGGAGTTTTCTGCATCGGTGTGTTCAGGAGGGATTCCAACAGGGCCCTTTTACGGCGCGGGGGAGTTGAAGAATCATGACCCCTACACCCCAAAAGGTTTCTATGATGCCAGTGTTGCACGCGGCCTCTTGAATGTATGTTTGTTCGTCGGCATTGCCAATGCGCTTCAGCGGATGAGCCCCTGTTTTTAAAAGGAACCGAGCTTGCGCGTCAGTCAAAAAATACTGGTCTCGGTTCCTGGTTTGCTGAGTTGAGTGTTTTGTCATGTGTTTGCTCCTTCACTCTGCGTCTCTGCAAGGGCCCCAGGCGTTATCTTTTAATGGTCCTGCATAAGCCGGTGCCAAAGTATACTACAGCACCTGCGAAGTTTGTCGTCTATTTGATGGTTTGTCTCGCGCGCATGTGTGCAATCCACAAGCAATGTGTGTGTCTCATGTTACATCTCATCAGATGGACAAACGCTCAAAGTGACACAAATCCTTTCGTTTAAGCCGAGAGTCGGCGTATGGAGTTTCTCGAGCAGATTTAAGTAGTCCGGCCAAGACAAGCACCTTCTCATATTGACAAAATCAATCAGGCCCTGCTTCTGGCCACTTGAACTTCTGATTCACAGAACCCCGGCGGACGCGCCTTTTGATTTGATCCATTAGTGGAAAAAGGTGGGTAGTCACCCTTACTGCTACTTCTACTACTACCACTACCTCTTCTCCTCCCAGTTGCACATGCTATAAAGTTCTATGTGTACTGCTTCTGCTGCATTGTTTTGCTGCGCCAGCATTACGACTACTACCAACACCACCGCCACCACGACAACAACGAGTATTTTTGTGCTACCACTACTACTACTAACTACTACTAACTACTACTAACTACTACTACTACTACTACTACTACTACTACTACTACTACTACTACTACTACTACTACTACTACTACTACTACTACTACTACTACTACTACTACTACTAACTACTAACTACTAACTACTACCTACTACTACTACTACTACTACTACTACTACTACTACTACTACTACTACTACTACTACTACTACTACTACTATACTACTGCTGCTACTACTACTAATGCTACTACTGCTACTACTGCTACTACTGCTACTACTGCTACTACTGCTGCTGCTACTGCTGCTACTGCTACTACTGCCACTGCTACTGCTACTACGGCTACTACTGCCACTGCTACTACTGCTACTACTGCTACTACTACCATTGCCACTACCACTACTTCGACTTCTATTACTACGGCAAAGAATTCAGACGTATTCCAGTTTGGCGCTTGGATGTTCCGACAGCGGCTCAATTGAGCCAGGCATCGTCGCAAGAGTGCGACCGCCTAAAGAACCATTGCGTCGACTTTGCTGGAGAGTTTTTGAAGAAGCTGGGGGCGGAGGATGTGCCAGACTGGCTTGGGCACAGCGCAGGTGCTGAGTGCTTTATTAGACTGCTGCGTCGAGCAGGGCCCGGCGTGGGTTTTGAGCCTTGTTGAGGCTGAACATCGACTTTATGGGGGAAGCTGCGACAAGATGTTCTTGATTTGAGGGCGAGTTTCTTGAAGGGTTTGGAGCGCTTGCTTCCGGCTGCCGGCGCCCGTGCCGGAGCGCAAGCGGCGGGCGCGGCCAAATGTTGCCCGCCTGGCGTGGTGTCCCTGAGCGCCCGTGAAAAACCGCGCGCCGTTCCTTGTCAGGAGCTGATGCTCGGCTTTTAAAACCCTGCAAAAGGCACGCCCAAAGCAAAGAGATGTTCCCGCGGTGGCTGTCTCCGCAGGGCAGGTCGGAATGGCTGCCAGAAGCGTGTTTGGAAGGTTCGGCAAGGACGGGGCTAAAATGCGTTTAAACACAAACACGCTTATGCACACACCCACTCACACATGCACACATGCACACGCGCGCCCACGCACATCCACCCAGCAGCCACACGCCCCGGACACAGACGCACAGAGACGCGCGCAGACGCACGCAGACGCACGCGCCGACTCACGCACGCCACGCTTCGAGAAAGTGTGGGCTGTGTTTGTGTCCAACTCCTGTACGGACATGTTGGTTACACATTACCTCGTTTCCCTTGCCGAAAGCAGGGACTGGCTTGAGCAGCAAGAAAGTCATTCATGCATCAATGCTGTTGCGATCTGAGGCGTGCGAAGACAACAAGTGCACAAAAAACGCTCCCGAACAATCAGCGCCAATTTCCTCTTCTACTTTGTCTTCTTCTACGTAGTGCTACCACTACTGCTACACCTGCTACGACTGCTACCACGCCACCGCTATGACGACTACCACCACTACTAGTACTCGTACCAGTGCTACTACTACCGCTACTACTTTTGCTGCTACTACTAAGGGCTTAATTGGATTGAATCTTGAACTAATGTTTGGTTGATTCCTGAGCCGCCTGGCAGTGGATTTAGGAGTTATGTGATCTTCCATCAACAAGTGAATCAGTGCATCATGTTGTCCCAGTCTAGCACTTCCTGCCCTCTTCAGTTGTCTGCCCTCGGCAGTTGCAAGTCCAAAGGAAGCCCGGAGAAATGTCAGGAACTAATTGGCTAGGCCTTGGTGTGTTTGGGTTCCTTCGCCTGCTCAAGGATTTGCTATCAAATGGTCTGGCTTGCTTTTGGCTTGTAACAGGCCTGGTGGTTTTGGGTCCCGAGCGCAGGTCGGCGGATCTCGGAGGTGGCGGCTACGACGCTGAAGGTGGCTGTGGGCTCAGGGTGGTTCATGTGTAGCAAGAGCCAGTTCTTCCATCACGAACTCCTGGGTGGCAATGGTCCTCTGGCACAAACAACCGCAGTCGAAACAGGGAGCTTACCCGAAACGACATTTGCCAGGAATGCATTGTCCCTCAGGCATGGTATATTTGCTAACCCTAATAAACACTTGAAAGGGTTTGGAACGACTAGGGTCAAAAAACCAGGCTGGACGCGTTCTTGCTATGCACAAATTAATCAGAAAGGGACCCTGTCAGCGTTGGGTTTTTGCACACACCTAATTTTGCTGCATTCTGGCATTAACAACCTGAAAGGGAACTTCTACCAGAACCCTAGCGGTCAGGCTAATTGAAAAGAGCTGTTTGACAGCCATTGGTGGGGAGGGGAGCTGGCAAGGGCTCAGGGGCCTCGTGTGCGGAAATCAGCGGCAGTTTGGGCATGCCCTGGAATGCAAGCTAAAATAAATAACAAAAAACAAGCCGTTACCAGTCTGCCGTAGATTCCCCCCCCCCACCCCACCCCAATCAACGGTTTTCCGCAGGTTTCCCACTTAAATGGTACCAAAACGTGCTGCATGAAACAGGAAGGCCTAATTTTTAGGGTGTGTGTTTGTGGGGTCTCTGTCCAGATAATGTTCTGAGGGTTGCAGCAAAAATATCCCCACCTAGGCTTATTTTGTGACTATGTATTTTTTGCAGTGGCATTCAACAGAACAGCAGAGAGAAGCACCGGCGAGGGTCATCCTGCTTTGCTAGCTGTTTAGTATTGAGGGAATACCCCACATGGGCCATCCTTGGTTTTCTAGGGAACCCCCAGCTCCATTCCCACGCTTCGAAATTTCTGGGGTTCCCAGCCAGCAATCTTTCGACCCGAGGTGCGAACGGAGTTGGGAGGCAAGAGCGCGGCACTTCTGCTGGAGGACCAGCCTGTGACATTTCGCCGAGGCCTGGGCACAGACGCGCAATTCCCTGCCCATTGTCCATTTTCCCTATCTGAGGTGGGCCTCTAAGATAAAAAGTGGCTAAGAGACATCTATGGATTGCGACCCTCTTAAAATTATTGATGGTTCAGTATGTTGGTCCTCTAAGCACAGAGTTACTCTATATTGTTATTCCAACATCTAACAACCAAAGCACGCAAAGCCTTGATGCGGCGCCGTTTACATACAAATGTAGATGACTGAATCGATGATGCAGTTTCTCTGTGCGTGTGAGAGTTATCATGGTTGACGCCCTCTGGTATTTCAGGGTTGCACGCAAGCGGCACCGAGAGCAGTCTGGAAATTGTTATGGACATGAATCACCCAGACCTCACGTGTTGACCTAAAAGGTAGCACATGCAACAGCATATTGGGATAATGCTTTGAACAAAAACGACGCTTGACACATGCAAGTCTTTGCTTGGATCCGTGGCGCAATGAGGCGCAGCGGGCATAATTTCAAGAACCCGCCCTAATTTGGCCCTTTTTCCGCGCACATGCTGGATCGGTGAAAGTTATGCGCGACTAAAGGGGGGGGAGCGGGCGGGGGGAGGACCCCAGCTGAGCGATAAATATTTCCTCACACTTCCTCCGTGGACTCCAAGCGTCGCCCCTTTTTCGCCGGCTCGAGCCATCCCCCCAAAGGAAGTTGCTAGTCCGAGCTCTTTCCGAAAGCCGCGAGCCATGCCGCAGATGTTCGTGGTGAAGCGAGATGGGACTCAGCAGGAGGTGAAGTTCGATTCCATCACCCGGCGCCTGCAGCCTCTTTGCGAGGGCTTGGACAGCAACTACATCGAGCCTTGGCGAGTCGATGGGGGGTGACCTTGATTGCTATCATGGAGGTTGCAATTTCGGCCGGAACGCAGTAAGACTTGTGAGTTAAGAGGATATCAGCGGTTCCTCTTTTCAGAAAACAGCCAAGCTGCAAAAGATGATGAGTGAATGCATGAGGAGCATGCAGGATCAACCATTAACATCTTGCAGAACTCGGTTATTTGTGTCTGTGGTGATGGGAGTCTCTTGATTGGTTTTGAAGCCCTCCAGACAGGAGCCCCATTTTGGACCCAACATGATTCTTGCTCGGGATCTGAAAGAGGGTACCGGGCCTCAAGACACACACACACACACCCCCACACGCACACGCACACGCACACGCACACGCGCACGCGCACACGCACGCGCACGCGCACGCACACGCACACGCACACGCACACGCGCACACGCGCGCACACGCGCACACGCGCACACGCACACACGCACACACGCACACACGCACCCACGCACCCACGCACCCACGCACCCACGCACACAGGCACACACGCACACACGCACACACGCACACACGCACACACGCACACACGCACATATGCAAGGAAGCCATAAACCCCACCCTAAACCAACTTTCTAACGAAAAACACGTCACATATGCAAGGAAACCAGCAACCCCACCCTAAACCAACGTACCGTCACCCCATGGATCAAAGAAGCTTCCATCGAGGACCCGGTGCTGGTGACCCAAAAAGTCATCGAGGGCTTCTACAATGGCATCTCCACCGCGGAGGTGGACACCCTCGCGGCGGAGACCTGCGCCTACATGTCACAGACCCTCAGATTCATATATCTGCCCAGTTTGTAGCGAGCGCACCGATTCGGGTGGTATCACCAGCGAAAGCCATGAAGCTCCTTCGGGGATCCCTTCCTTCAGCTTTTGGAATCGTAAAATTTGCGTGTCTTGATACTGCCGGTTTGGGCAAGGCAGAATGGACGGGTCTGCAAATGCCCACAAAAACTGGGGGAAGAGGGTGGTTTTGGGGGAAGCAAGTAATCGTGTTCGGGGCCCAGATGGGTGTGTTCATTTGTATGTGTGTGCCTTGTGGACATGAAGCATTCAGTCATGTGTGCACCAGTCAGCCAATTGATCATAGTCGAAACCCTAAAAAGCGCCCAACGCTGAGTCAAGCGCCTGTTCAGACAATTTGGTCTTTGGAGGTATGTAAGAGGTTTATATACTGCCAACACAACTTATCCTCCCACGCATAAACATGGAACCTGATAGGCGGGGGGGGGGTCCTCGAACATTATTTTATTTTTAAAGGGACCCCTCAGATTCCAATTAATCCGTGGGAGGGTGTTTTCAAGCCACAGTTAGCCAAAACCCGGAAACCCATACCTAAGCCACCATGTTCATGGTTGTTGTGGGAAATCCCCACTTACCTGCTAATATTTAAATGTTTGCTGCCCTTCCAACGTCAACCAAGTTTTGAGGGTCATGTCAAGGATGTCACTTGGAGTTAGTGCATATTGCTTTGAGGGATGGTTTTCCTTCAAGATCACCTGCCGACTTTAGCAGGAACCCCCTTTTTCCCAGCGCCCCTGGCGGTAGCCAGCATGTGGCTGTGGTTGCCAAAACGAATGGGATCCCATTTTGGGGGGTGAATTCGCCACCCATTTTAGAACCTGTTTTAGTGGTTGGATTGGGCTCACTGGGGGTACGGGATTTTGGATTTTGACCCATGGCCATGTTTTTTTCTTGAGAAAAAGCCTTTTGGTTTCGCTTCAAACGGGATTTTTTGGGGGTCGTTTTGTTTCTTCTGTTTTTTGTTTGGTATCGAGAGGAAGCACCCGGACTTCTCCACTCTGGCGGCGCGCATCGCCATCAGCAACCTGCACAAGAACACCTCGGGCTCCTTCAGCGAGACGTGCCGGGTCTTGTACGAGTACAAGGAGCCCCTGAGCGTCAAAAGTGAATTTATGGTCTCCTAGAAGGGGGAGGCTATCGTGGATAGGATAAGCTAAAGAAATGCCCTTAATAACTTAATGGGGCCAGCCCCCCCCCCATAGCCCCCTCAAGGGCTCCATGAAGGGTTGGTCCCAAGAAACAGGTGCAGGTTCGAATATGGGCCCCAAGGGCCAGCTGTTTGGGGCCTCAAGGGTCTCCTGCAAAACAGGAGGTTATTGAATGTATGCTTTAAGGAACCTTGGAAAGGGCATGTTCTTTCCCGACTCTTTTGACTTCAATTTGGGTTGGGTGTTTGGTGATGCTTCATTTCCCAAGAGCGACAGCCAGTCGTGGCCAACTTTGGGTTTGGGGCGAGGGTTCCAGGGGAGGTGGGGCGAGGATACTTCTTGTTTCTGTTTCCCTTCAAATGAGTAGGCAAACAACTTGTTCCAATATGGGAGTGGGGTGTTTGGCCAAGTTGCGGCTTGTTGCATGAACATGTTCCCGCTGGGACCGAGCCACATGGGTTTGTCCAAACAGGCCCCTTTTCAACGCGCTGGTCCCTGGAGCTTCTGGGTGTGTGTGTGTGTGTGTCCCTGTGGTTCTCCAGGGTTTAGGTTGTTTTAAAGGGAAAGCCGAAGGAACCCCCCGCCCATTCGTAAGTTACCCTATTTTGACATTGTCCGCAATCCGGCTCGCTTTGATCCCTTTCAATTCCCAAAGGCCCCACCAAAAGTTCGTGCAGGGTATTCGATTTCAAGGGTAGTCGAACACAACCCACCTATGAGGGTGTCCCCCTTTCAACATCACCTCTCTAAATCTCTACAGAAGAAACTGGATGGACATGAGCAACCAAATGGTGAGGGATGTTTAAGCCACTCACAAGGGAAATATAAGGAATCAAGGACAACCTGGGCGAACTTATCATCCGGAGGCAACACATATTTTGCTGGACATGCACACATGCTTTTAAAGCCACGAAGAGGCTCTTAAGAACAAAAGCTGTTGGTGACAAGGCACAGTTCTTGCCAACACCAAAACTTCTCCTCTGAGTGATGTGTTTTTGTTGGTTTTGGTTTTCTGCAGTATTTGTTGTTTTTCCCCTCAGTTGTTTTTGGGGTTTTGCCATTGTCCCTCCAAAGCACCCAAGTCTACGCTGGTTCCACACCCTTAAAGTATCCCATCAGAGCGGGACCAATAGGTTGTTTAGGCAAGGGGTGTGCCAGCATGTTTCGAGAAGTGGCCTTTTTCACTGAATAGGTCCACAAATCAGGTTTTAGGATGCTACACCCATGTTCCTCGCTTGGTGCAATCGGCATCAATGTCGGGCGACGAGTTGTCCAGGACCAACAGGGGCGCGCGGCCACGCTGTTGGCGGACGACGTGTGGAGCTTCGTTTCCGGAAACGCGGAGGCGTTGGACCGGGCGGTGGACTACAAGCGGGACCTGGGCTACGACTACTTCGGCTTTAAGACCTTGGAGAAGCTCAGCTCAGGTAGCGTATATGCTCTTTTCATGTTGACCCTGGTTGATCTTGATGGAGGGGTGTCCCCGTTTTTATTGAGGATTTATCTTTTTTGGAGGGATCACCCCCCTCTTAGTAGGACGGGGTGTTCTTGTTTTGATGGTAATCTTTGTGGGCTTCTTTGAAGGAACACCAACACGCATAGCTCAGGCCAAGCTTTGTTGGGTGGACGAGAAAGTACCCGGTGCCGGTTCGGTGGATGCGCGAAATATTGCAAGTAGGGAACGAGCGAATCCCGCCGGCTTATCAACCGAACTGACCGAATTGCAAGGCCAAAGGTCCGCACTTGCCTTTCGGCTGCAAGGGTTGGGCAAAAGAGGTTTGAACAGGAGACAAACACGAGGTCGTCCAAGAAACATTTTTTCGACATATTGAAGGAAGGGGACTATTTTACCCGTTTGGCCAGTGAGGAAGTCCTACCTCCTCCGGGTGCACGGGAAAATCGTGGAGCGGCCGCAGCACATGAGCCATGGCACGGTGTTTCTTGTGACCCGCGCTTGTCGGCACGGCAGGGCTTGGTCTCCAAATGGGCGTGCCCTTTGTCTTCCCGCAAGCCCTACGGAGGGCACCCCCTAACTCGGGTTCCAAGTAGGTACCACAAGACCACAAAACAGTCAAAATGAATTGGCTTTATGCTTCTGCCTCCCATGGGGCAGCGCAGGTTTCGCTTTACGTTTCTCAGTGGGGCCCCTTGCATGGCTTCCTTCGACAAAACCGCTAGTCTTTGCTCCATGTTTTGAGAAACACCCAAGTCCTTGCTGATTCTTTGCCAGGGCTCCCCTCAGAGTTGGGAAGAGACACCTGGGGATCGTTCCTTGGCAAGTTTGCCTTTTCCATGAATCGCTTTGCAGTTTGAAGCGCGAAAACAAGTCAGAAGCTTGTCCAAAGCACAAATTGTGGATAAAGACAGCACATTGGCCCCGGTAAAGGACATCGTGTCGGTCACCATCGGTGTATTTCGTGTGGAGCCTTTGAAGGGCTTTTTTGGTCATTATGGCCTTGACAAATCGCTTGCCCCTTTCTCTGAACCTTGAAAGGCACATCCCCAAAGTATCCAAGCTCGGATTCCGTCCGTAATACGAATTGGTGAAAATGCGCGCACATGTCCACAACCCCCCCCCCCCCCCCGCCCGCCCGCCAAAAAAAAGCAAAACAAGATCGGGAAAGCAAGATGGGGTTTGAAGGAGCACGCCAATTGCGTAGGGTTTGACATGGACCCTACTAAGGACGCCAAGGTTTCCCAGCATGGGTCTCAAGTTGCTTGAATAGAGAGGGTTTCCTCGTTTATCAGTCTGGTTATCATTATCTACCAGTGGGACTTGTCCATCTATTCATGTGTCCAAAACGACACCTAGGACCTAGGGTCCTTCTAAGTCTGACCTCTTTTGAGTGATGTGGGCCATATATTAGCATCCGAAAGTGTCTTACAAGGGACCTTTTTGCCGGCGGAATGGACCATAGGGAGGCCTATGTCAGGATTTAGCTTACCAAACAGCAAGGGTGGAACAGTGGTATTTGGCCTTTTCCAGGGACCAACTCTGTACAGATGTACTCCTATCATGACTAATTTTGGTCTTGAAGTACCCCACAACCGCATTCGGATTGTTTGGGCAGCATCCAAAAGGAGTCCATTTCTTAGGTCCCCCAGTAGTGCCCGTTTACCCCTTTTTTTGGGAAGGTTCCCCTACTAAAATAGACTACAGAAAAAAGAAAAAAAAACACATCGGGCACCAACTTATTCTAACCTCTCACATCGGGAGGACCTAGTTATTCACCGGGCCCAACGTAGGGCTTCGCCGGTCGGAGGATCATGCGCGCCGCCTGTGGCATCCACTGCGGAGACCTTCCCGCAGCGCTGGAGACCTATGACGCCCGCCCAAGAAAACTTGGAGTCCCGAAGTTTTTCCCTTAAGGAGCGTCCGAAAAACCGATTTCCCATTGGCCAGTTTAGAGGGTTCTACCTGGAAAACATGGGGTTTGTGGTACCTGCATAAACCTTTATTGCCATGGTGATAGAAGCAATAGTCAATGGGTTTTAGTATGTTTTGGTCGCTGCTCCTTTGGTGTTGCGCATATTTTAGGTGGGAACCGAGCTAAGACAATTGCGGGAGCCATTGGTTCGCATGGGGCTTCATTCAATGTGATTCAAGGAATAACCATGCAAACTGGACAAATACGAAAAAGCCGGAAATTAAGTTGCTTGTTTGGGTGTGGTTCCTTTGTGTGTAACCAGAAGCAGATAGGAAAGACCATCAAAAGCTTCGTACCCTACAAAGGGGTCCTTTGTTTTCGCGGTCTTTCAATAAAATACAATGAGGAGATCACGAGATACAGCTTCTTCTTGTTTGGCAGTTTCTGGTTTCATGTGATGAGTTTGAGAAACAAGCGCGAACCACCCAGAAAGACTCGCAAGGAACAACCACAACAATTCTCAAATCATGAAACTGTGCGGCGGGGTGTTCTTTGTTTCATTGGTGTCTCGGTTGAACAAACACCAGACAAACATAAGATAACCACGCATGTTGTTCCTTTGTTTGTGTATTATGTTGTTTCTTTTGCTTGTATGGGTTTCCGTTTCACCCAACACAACGGACAGCCCTCCCCAAAAAACGAACACCAACAAGAAACACATCACAAAGTGTTTTTCGTGCCTGATACTTGCCCCCGCTTTTTGTTTTTCATAGAAAGCTTCGCTGGTTGTTTATTTGGCCACCTTTGAGGTAGCAAACGGATAGGACGTGGATGTCCACCCTACCAAACAAACAACGGACTGCAAGTCGGCTAACTGGAGATGTCCAAACACCAGCGAGTTCATTGATCAAAACGGACAATCCCACAAAGCGCATCCGATCACTGCGGGAGCATCCCGGAAAACCCCATCGAACCCCCAATGGTTTTAGAACCAAGTTCAGCGATATCAAGGGAACCCCCTTTCAAGTGACAAAGCCATTTCCAGGGATGGGAATCCTACTTCGCTATCACAATTGGACATTTCACAACCATGAAGCAACCTCTGACCTGGTTCCCCGAAAGAAACAACAGACCACCTCCAAAAGGGCACCGAGCCTCAAACATCATTCAAAGCTGAGACCCCAAGTGGTTGGACATGAATTTTCATCGAATTTTGTCCGCCAAACAAACATTAAGATTCACACCTGCTTCTGTTTTGTGTCAAACATAGGGGGGGACCTCCAAATGGGTCGGGTTTTCTTTTGATTTCCGAAGAACAACACCTGACTACGGGTACCAACTCGTGTCGGGGCCATTGGTTTGCCAAGGACCTGATGTCACGGAAGTTCTTCACCCATGCCACACCCACGCTCTTCAACGCCGGCACCCCCAAGCCACAGACGCCTGGCCGAGCGCTCGTGAGCGCGTAAGGGGGGAGCCTTGGGGACTGGGGATCGGCCATGGTAGGCTCCGCTTAGTTGCCCAAATCCGACCTCCGAAAGGTTAACATTTTTATGTCTGGGTCCTTTGATCACATGGGTTGGTGACCCCGAATTGGGGCATGGTGGTGGACAACTGGGAGTAGGGCCACTTTCAGTGATACCAAGAGGATCTACTTTAAAGTGAGAAAGCAGCCATGAGCATCATGTCAAGGTCGGCCCTTGCGACCGTTGCTTGCAATGATGCCAGCGCTTCTTAACCAACCGCGACAATCACACAAAAGGCTTGATTGGCTCCGGCCTTGCCCGACCTTGGTGCAGTTTCTTTCTGAGGTCAGCGATGGGAAAGCAGAGGAATGCAACTTGCTGATAGGCACATGGGTATGGGTCAAAATTAAAGCACTAGGGGACCGCAGGTTTTAGTCCTCGGTTCTATTTACCCACAGCCATATCATCATCTTCACAGGGAAACGGAATCAATCGCCCGGCCACGAAGATGTTCAAACTACCAGTCGCTTTTTCAACAACTAGAGAGGTTGCAACGGCACAGCCTCAATTGCGTGTTACCGGCTTCGGGCGCATTGCGCCCGTCAAGTGGACCTTTGGGGTCAAGGGTTCATCTAGCCCCAGATTATTGAACGTGTCAGATGTCGTCTTCTGAATATGGCAGGTCTTGTTTTCAGGGAGCAGGATTCGTGCACCTCGTGTTCGCTTCCCAGCGGGCCGCATTCACCACCGACTGACGTGGGCCGCCGCAAGTCCACCGGCTGAGGATGTCCTCCTGCTTCCTGCTGAAGATGCAGGATGACAGTAGCGCAGCCGGCAAGCGGCAACCATTTTGCCGGAATTGGTGAGCTTAGTGGGAGTGGTCATAGGGATAGCCAACTTTGGCATGGCAGAAAGGTTGATTGTTCCAATTTGTTCATGTCGCTTGCACGTCCTAATCCACAATATGCGAAAAGGGACTGACTACAGCTGCGCCCTATGCCCGGTTCGCCTTTTTCAAGAATTGTGAAGAACACCACATCCACGTGTTTCCCCACTCAAAAACGGGGCAACGCAACAAAAGTGCGCCGGTCGGCCCATTTTCCCGCTGGGCTGGTTAGAGAGTTCAGCACTGCCTTTTCAGTGGCTGGGATCAAAAAGAGGGACGGTTGAGTGGTAGTCTGACGCTACGGGCCTTGGTACGTCGAGAACTTGAGCGAATCAGAGCTGAGACCTGTTTCAGCTCGCGTCGCCTAAGCAGGGCTGTGGTTGGCATTGTTTGTGGCAAGCCGCCCATTAAAACCGTGAGCCATAATGAAGGGTAGGGAACAATCCCTACCAAAAATGGTGCAGAAGCTTTTTAGTCCTCATGGATTTCGCACAAGCTTAATGCCAGCTTGTTGATTGTGACAGGTGCCCTTTTGACACCAAACCCCTGAAGCTAAGGACCCCTTCGAACGTGGTAAAGACCCCCCTAGTTTGTTTTCGGAACCTTATTTTCTTTTGGGGGTGCCCTCTTTCGTCAGCACTTTTTGGATGCCTTCGTTTTCCCGGGTTTGCATGGGTGCCAAATTTTTGGTGCCCCTGTTACTCTAGGAACGTTTGTTTTGAGCGCTCTTTTGGGGTCCTTGTTCTATGCTGTGTTCAAGCATCAGGCATCGAGGGCATCTACGACACATTGAAGCAGTGTGCCCAGATCTCCAAATCTGCGGGAGGCGCGGAGCGTTGTGGCCTTTGTCGCTTGTGCGTTGAGCAACCCTTGTTGAAGGGCATTGGTTTGGATGTTTGTTTTGCATGGGACAAGCATGCTGGTTTTGAATTATGATGAATGTTTTCAGGGGTCAGCTTGGACACCGATCGGCTGGTGGGTTATTATTTTAGACCTAGATGCGTGTTTGCAGGTGGGTCTGCCCGAACTCCCGACAAAAACAAGTATATCAACTTATTGTTAAGTGACCTCTTCAAGGCTATGTTAATGGCCCTTGGACAACCAATGGAGGCAGGGTGGTCCTCTAAAGACCGCCTCATTGTGCACATGTATGGTCTACCACAAATATATGCTTTGTCTTGGATGTATGCCAAACTGATTCTGGGGGCTCGCAGCTCGGTCGTTCAACGGGTCTCCCCCTTTAAAAAGCTGCACCCGCGGCAGCACCCTCCACCTTCTCCTCCCCCCCCCCCGCCACCACCCAGCCCCCAAGCACACGTCAAAAAAGACTAGCAGAACGGGCTGCAAACCCACCCCACCCCACCCTCCCCACCACCCCCCACCTCACCCCACCACCCCCCACCTCACCCACCACCCACCTCACCCACCCCCACCACCCCCCACCCCCCACCCCCCACCCCACCCACCTCCTCCTCTCCAGGCATCGGTGTGGCCATCTCCAACATCCGCGCCTCCGGCGCCTACATCCGGGGCACCAACGGCAAAAGCAACGGGCCCCTCGCTCGCCAGCGACTCCTCCGGCGGCCGAAGGGGTGGCGCTTCACATCCGTTTGACCGGGAGGGTGTAACCAGGGCGCTTCAGGTAACGTACAACTTTGATTGGCTGTTGGAAGATGATACTGGGTGTTCTTTTTTAGCGTGGTTGCTTTCAACAAGCCCTTTTTTCCCATGCTTTTTGTGGTTCCCTCAAACGGGCAAGTTACCACTGGAAGCATAGGAGGAAGAAAGACTGGGGTTGGGCGGTCCGATTTTTGGCTATCCCTCGTTTGTTTTCCCCCCTTTGTATGGACAGAGGGGTTTTTCAGTTGGGTCCCGGTCCCCTCCTTCAAAGAGAGGTCCAACCATTGCATGGCCAGTCGCTGGCCGCACCTCCTCTCTGTAGTTGCCTTTGTCCCTGTCTCTGTCTCAAAATAAGCATACTTTGGATTGGGTTTCAGGAATTGACAGAAATCAGGAGCGCAACGGCATTTCAAGGAGCTTATGTTCATTTTCAGGAACGACGGCCATAAAATCCAGGAGGATCAGTTCTCCGTGTTTTTTCTCGGAGACTTCTCAAAAAGCAGTAGTCTCCGGAAACTCCGAGCTTTTTCTCTGAGAAGGGTGGCTCAGGTGTGCGCCAGACTATCTTTCGATTTGTGTCCGTAACATTGAAGTTCCTTTTAAGATTTGACCATGTTCAACGGTTTTCCGTGAAGTTCCGGAAGCGGTGCTTTGAAAAGTCGAGGGTCGTCAACGCGTGCAAGCATGCCCAAGCACACGCTTTGACTTCCAGGAGTGTTTCATTGGTTTGGCAAGCAAGTGTTCTTGATACGCAAAGACACGTTCTTCGACTTGTTGCTTTTGACATCCTTGCTGGCCCATGTTTGGGTGTTATAAGCACGTTGCTTTCAACCTGGTTGAGATGAATGTGGGAAATGAGGTCGTGTCCAATTTGTTTTCCCACCAAGAGAACCAATCCCCTTTGGAGTGGCAAAGCAGGCATCAGGGCCCACAAGTTTCCGCAAAGAGTCGTACGTCATCTGTTTCCGCAGCGCTTGGTTGCACTTGATCCAAGGCTGGTGCCAATGCTGCGGAATTTCAATGAAACTGCCCGATACGTGGACCAGGGTGGGGGCAAGCGCAAGGGCTCCTTTGCCATGTACTTGGAGCCTTGGCACGCTGACGTCTTCGACTTTTTGGAGCTGCGGAAGAACCACGGCAAGGCCATTGGTCAATGGGTTTGGGGGGGGGGGGGCGAAAGGGTTGGAGGGTCTCGTGCCAAGGGTAGGTTATTGGTTGGGTTGGCGGGGGTTTCATGTGGTTCCTTTTGAGGTTTGGTTTGAGCTGTTGCCTGGTTTTCCGGAAGGCCGGCTTGCGGGTGTGAATGAGGGAGGGGGGTGACATGGGGTCCGCATTGTTGGGTGGCGGTGTTGCTAAGGCCCCATTGTTCATTGAGGCCAAAGCCGATCCCCAGTGGGTTTGTCATCTACAAAACACTGTTGTTGAGTCGCTGCTTCTTATTGCGGAACTCTGCCGAAAGCTTTAAATCTGACTTTGACGAGTCTGGTTGAGAAGTCCCTTCTTGTACTGGTACGCCGACCATCGCTCATGGGCTTCCCTTTGGGCCATCAACAAGCCTGGTGGATTTTGTTTTGGGGAGTCGCCCAAAGTGAAGGATCACGCTTGCCCCCTATTACCAAGCAAGAGGTGATCAATCCTGAGCTTCATTCGGACCTCGTACCTTTTGGTATGCACAGAAACGAAATGGAACAGTAGTTCTTCAGCGCTCCAGCCATGCTATTTGGGTGTGTCTTAACATAGGGGAACCACAAAAAACGGGTGGTGCCCTTTGGTTTCCCCTGTTTCAAAATTGGCACCCCAACCACCCCGCCCCACCGAAACTTGGGCCTTTTCTCCAGGAGGAGCAGCGGGCGCGGGACCTCTTCCTGGGCCTTTGGATCCCGGACCTCTTTATGCAGCGGGTCAAGGAGAATCGGCTCTGAGGGTCCCAGGCTCTTTCTGAGGAAACTCCCCAAGCCCCCAGCTTTTCCGACACCTTGGCGTGGGGTAGCTTTGGTATGGGGTTTCAACTTCTGTGGTGAAAGGAGTTCCATTGGAAGTGTTGTCTTGTTTTTAACCAAACAACTTGTGCAAGCACATTCAACAGGGCCGGTCAGATTCAACTCTTAACCTTTTGCTCGGGTGAATAACAACGGGAGCAACAAGTTCGAGGATACTATGGAAAATCGGATTGGAATTCCAAGCCACTATGTTGAACAGACGGTTGTGAGCAAGGGATTGGGAATCCCACTTTTTGTGAGTGGACTTTGGGGAAACACGCAGTGCTTGGGATCACTCTCTGATGCTCGAGAACCCCCCCGCCCTTTTGTTTTTGAAGTGATAGAATAGCCATTGTGAGGACCCAGTTGGCATCACAGAAAGGAGTACCCCACCTTCCCCCCCCCAAAAAAAAGCCGCAACTTGAAAGAGGTCCCATAGAAGAAATTAGTGCTTCCCACTGATCCCAGTCAGATTCCATGAACCTGGGTGGGGTGGGTGGGTAATACCTGATTTGCACATGGCAAGCATCAGTCAGTGCTGGATGGGGTTGACCCATGCAGGAGAACGGGGACTGGACGCTCTTCTGCCCCAACGAGGCCTATGACCAGGAGACTCAGAAGGGCTTGATGGACGTGTGCCCGAGCTGAACCACCTTGGGGTGAAAGCAGATGGCACTCTTGCCCTTGTGTCCGCCAGTAAAGAGGATGACAAAACTTCAACCTGGGGGATTTGTGGCATCCTTTGTTCAGCAATGTTGACGCCACACACAATTCATGGTGGATTTCCTGGTTTTTCGGGCGTCTTCCAATCTTCCTTCAGACACGGATGGCGTTCGTGTCTTGGCTTTCTCCAATATGAAAAGGAGCAGCCTGGATCGCCAGTTGCTGCTTTTTTCCATCCACTTCACCCCAAAAAACCAGCAACAGTGACTGAAACAAGCAGCAACCTGGCTATCTAGGAGGAAACCAGGTCCCAAAGATGGCGAAGATGGGCCTGCCACTGTGCCTAATTTCAAAGGGTTAGTTTGGCCGGGGGACAGCTTTTGCAGGGTTTGGTCTCTTTGAATTGGCTCGGCAACCAAGTGAGATGCTTCAGTTCGTTCAAACTCACGGAGTTTTGCCGGTGGGCTCCCCAGCATTTGGGGTTGTCAGCTCCGACAAACGGATTTCTTGTTGGTTGGTTTCCCAAACCCGACCACCCTTCCACCCAACATGAGACTCGCCAAAGAGCCATATTATGGAAGATTGTCTTTCAGGACCCCCCCCCCAGCTCCCAGGAAGGTTCTATGTTGGGCGGGTTGCCTTTGAAAACGCCCCCACTCCTCCCAGCAGGCCTCGCCACAAGTGAGCCTCTGCGGCCGGCTTGGCTTTTCTCATCTCGGGGGTCCATTTTGTTGACGAGGCTGGTAGATGTGGCTGTCTTTTCTTGCGGCTCGACACCCTTCTCCATCTTGGTTGACAGGAATGCATTAGCAAGATTCCCACTGTCCCTACCTACTAGCAAAACCACAGGCAAGGGAGGGGCTTGGGGGAAGCAAGAAAAGCAGACCCTGTTGAGCTTGCCTCTAGTCCAAGGCCGGTCCAAGAGACCTCAGGTGTTGCCACTTGCTGAGACTCAATCTTGGTAGCATAGAACTGGGTTTGTCTATTTAGAAGAGCTTCCCCCCAAAAATGCTGGGGTTTCCCTCTTGGTTTCCCTAAACCCCCCACCAACCAACAACTCCTCCGCCTCAGCGCCTTTTCAGAGGGCCTCGACTCGACTCGACATCTCAGGTGGCTTTGGGTCAAAACCCTGGTACCCCCCGACCCCTGAGATTCCCTTTCAAAATGCACCAAACAAAACGGGGGTTACTCCAAAACGGGTATCTCTGTTTTGACCACCCAGGTGGGGCACGGACTTCGAGGCCTTGTACTGCCGCTTGGAGCGGGAGCAGAAGGGCCGCAAGACGGTGAAGGCCCAGCAGCTCTGGCGCCTTGGCGCTCGCAGCGCCGAGAGGGTGGAGAGGTAGACGTACACGTCGACCGCCAAGCCGAGGAACACATGGCTTCCTTTTGCTTATGCTTTTCTTAAGTTTTCCCCTGTTGGTTTTAAAGGGAATCTATTACTACTGGAAGTATGTATATTTTTTCCAGCGGGCTTAAGCAAATGGCAGATGGCCGTGGGTCAAAACTGGGTACCCAAAATGGGTTGCCCTGGGAAATGGAAGCCAGGACTTAAACCTGGGACCTGGGGTTTTCTGGTGGTTTAATTTTGACCCACACCCAAATAGGCCCCAAACCAAGAGGTGGCACAAAATCGAGTCGTGCTTACGTGTCCCACCATGCCGGGGAGGGGGAATGATGATAAAGTCATGAGGGGGTTTACTACCAATGAGGTTGTGTTTCTTTTTTTTGGGAGACGACCTCCGGAGTGGTGGACATAAATGCCCATGCACATGCTGTCCAGCAAGGACCCCCCGCGACAATTTACAGGTTTATGAACTCGTCAGCAGAGGTTGGTACAAATTCGCCCTTTTAAGTACCTGTCCACCAAGAGTTTCCCCTTTGAATTCATACCATATTACTCATCTTCAAATGGAATATATTGATTGTTACAAGTTCAATTCCACCGGGATTGTTTTGGTGATGTTTGCTTCTGTTGGTTTTGCCATTTTTCTTCCTTCTCATTTGGCAAACAAGGGCATTTGTTGCCAGTGGTTCCATATTTCTAGGATAGCACGTTGATTCAGGCAAACATGTTCCCCCCCTCTCCCAGTTTGTGTGTGTGTGTTTTCGTCCTGTTAAGGGGTTTCCCTTTAAAAAGACCACCAACAATCAGGGCATGTCCTTTCCAGTTTTTCGGGTCGTCGCCGCTTTCAAATGCAAACGATGCGGCATCCGGCACGCCTTGTCGTCGCCGGCCCGTGGGCCAGGGGTTGCAAGGTTCCGAATCTTGGAAGCGCAGATGGAGACCGGGACGCCCTACATGCTCTACAAGGACTGACACCTCCCTCTCCAATCTTTTTGTAGATGGGTCGGCCAGGGGGTCGGGTGGCCGGTTGGTGAACCAAGAGCCAGAAAAGCACAGGTATTCTTTGGTGTATTTTGCTTGGATGTTAGAACTTTTAACTTTTTGCCAACTAATGGGTTTTCCATGAAACCACTAAAAGTTGAACTTTCAGCAGGGGAGCAGAAAGCAACCAAGTATCTGTTTCGGGTGATGTATTAGGACACTCAAATCGGCGATGCAGGACAGCTGCAATCGCAAGTCCAACCAGCAGAACTTGGGCACCATCCACTGCTCCAACCTTTGCACTGAGATCGTGGAGTACACTTCCCCTGATGAGGCGGGGAGAGGTCAGACCACCATGAGTCGGACCATGAGCGCATTCAAACGGATACCATGGGGAAAGCTTTTTTTTGGAGGACCTGGTCTTTGACAACCTTCATTGGACACTGTTCACTGATTTGCGTACATGGGGGGGGGTTCCCCAAGTCGCCTGCAAACGCCATGGCTCCCGGCCCGGATTGCCCTTGAGCCGAAACTTGTCCATTTGTTGGCGTCGAGGGTCATGTCCTGCGTCCTGACAGGTGGGTGCTTGAAGGGTAAGCAGAAGAAAGCCACACACCGTTTCAGGGATTGAGCCCATCCCCCCCCCCCCCCCAAGCGCCCAAGCGCTGCAACTTCAGTGTGCTTGGCAAGCTGCAAAGATCCAGAGAACTGCTCAGGTAGCTTTCAAACATCGGCCTCTGGGACCCTCTGAAACTCCCACGGGGGGAAATCAAACGGAAGCCAAATGGAAGTCAAGCGGAAACCAAACAGACACTCAAAAACCAAAAGTCACGCGCCAACAGCAACAGGACACACAACTGAGCTTTTACCGGAGACTATTCTTCCCGGCATGTTTTCACCTGCGCTCATGAGGGTTTGTCACAGGGGAATCGTTTATTTTCAAGGACTATGAAGTTGAACTTCAAAATGAGGGTGGGGGACGTAAGTCCCCATGCAGATGTCCAGAAAGGGGTCCCCAATCAAAATTCATACCCAATTGCTGGATGCACCGCTTTAATTTCTTGTGATAGAGTAGTCATCGGGATGGGAGCCCCACTTTGGTATCCCACATCTCCCAACACCAGGAATGTGTCATATGGTGATTTGGGTCTGGCATTGTTTGAAAGGGAAGCGAACTGAAAACGCACAATTTTGGTGGGTTGCCGAGTGTTGAGTTGCACCCGTTTTGCCCAGAGGTGGCGGTCTGCAACCTGGCATCCATCGCTTTGTCCTCCTTCGCGGATGCGAAGACCAAGTCCTTCGACTTTCAGCACCTCTACCGCGTCACCAAGGTGGTCACCAAGAACCTGAACAAGGCGGGACAAGGCCGTGGGCCTCCCAAACCTGCGAGATGAGCCATGGGTATGATTCTTGCTCACGCGCACAAGATGAACCCACAAAACAACATGAGAGCTCCCTGGAACTCCCTCCCAAACCGGCGATATGAGCCAGCGGTGGCTGGTGTGATGAATCGTCGGACCTCCAACCGGGGCAATGTCCCCAAGGTCCCCTGAAAGGCAAGCCCCGGGGAGTTTTCGCCGCTCTTTGAACTCCAAGGCACTGGATGTTGTTGTTTTGTTGTTGTTTTAAAGAAAACATATAAGACAAGCACATGCTTTTCGTAAACACCCAATGCATATTTGGTTTGGTAAAAACCCAACGACGCACTTGAGCTTGACCCTGCTTGGGCAGCTATGGCCACGCAAGGCCACGTCCGTGTTTCAACCGGAGCCAAAAAGTGGCCGACAGATGTACTTTAAACGATTCTTTGTGGGGCCTATTGTTACTTTCCAGTTTCTTCCATGTACCCGTTTTGGGCTTATTGAAAGTGACACCAAAGGAACCCCGCCAGTTTGAGTTTTTAGGTGCCTCCGTCCCCTTCCCAGCGTTTCTTTTTTGTTTTCGGGGGGGGGCCTGAGTGAGTTTTCCTTTAGGCTCAGGCTCCCAAAGACGGTTCCGCGCCGCCAAACTCCCGCCCGCCGCTTTTTATTTCGCGTTGGGTAGGTCATCGACCGGAACTACTACCCGGTGCCGGAGGCGCGGCGCTCCAACCTGCGGCACCGCCCGGTGGGCCTCGGAGTGCAGGGCCTGGCGGACGCCTTCCTGACGCTGAAGCTGCCCTTCGAAAGCCCCGAGGCGGTTTGGTTTTGGGGGCCGGAAAGGAGGGCTCAGTCACCGAGCCCCCTGCAACAGTCACTGAGCATGATGGCAACTTCAAGCTGGTTGGAAAGGAAAAGAGCAAGCATGTTCGCGGTCAAGAACACCAAAAGGGCTTGATTTGGGGGGCAATCCACTGAAGGGAGAAGATTCTCACCCTTCCACCCAAATCCATTGCTCTTTGAGGGCAAACTGGAAACCCAAGTCCTTTTATGTTTTTTGTAACCAGGGTCACAGGGCAACTGGGTTCTTAAAGATGGGACCACACACACACACACCGGCTTGCGGTTCTTTTAGTATCGTTTCTGTCTTTTTGACACGATGCTGAATGGGATATTCATCTTATGGTGTGAAGCCATATTCGATATTTCAAGGAAACCCCGAGTAGAGACTAGGCTCTTGAGTCGTGCTGGTGCAATTAAGGAGAATTCAACGTTCAAGGTTTCCAAGCATGGTCCAGGCCACGTTGGGATACAGCGCAGCTTTCTTCGTGAACAACAACTGAGAACAACCAAACCGAAAAGCCACCGGAGATGTCCAAGGTCCAACACATGTCGATACACTTTCACTTCGAAAGTCTGGATTCTCAAGGGATACATCCACAAACTTCAAGCTTCAAAAAAGCCCGAAAGGGTGAGCTTCGGTCAATCTTTGGCCGGTACGGTCCACTTGGGAATGGGGGAACTCACCCTGAGATTGTCCCATTAGAGATGAACCTGCTTTCTCTCTACTCGCACTCCTCTTCCCACAAGACCCAGACGACACCTTGCTGGGAAAAACCTTTGTGTCGCCACGACTCGGTCTTCCAAGCTCCCGGGGAGTCCGAGCCAAGTGGCGCCGGTTTCGAGGCGAAGCGCCTCAACGAGGAGACCTTCGAGACGATCTACTTCGCAGCCTGCGAGGCCTCCTGTGAGTTGGCGGAAGCTGAGGGACCCTACGAGCGCCTCGGCTGGCAAGTGCCAAGCGCAACGAAAGTGCCCGGGGCTTTTGGTTGAGCTCCAGGTGAGTTTTGGGATACCCCCTTACAATGCGGATATTACTTGGATTGTTCCCTTGGAATTGGGATATTGCCTTGAGTTAGGGGTTGACATACCCACAAAGGTGGGCAGGGTAACGGTCCCTTTCAGGTCGGGCCGATTTTGTGGAAGCTTCAAACGCAGCTTCAGCCGTCGGGAGCCATGGCTCCACTTGAATCGATCCCATGCGAAGCTAAGGAATCCCAAACACCAAAGTCACTAGGCTGTACCATTTGAGCACTCAAATTCCGAGCAGATGAAGGTTCAGGGGCAATCCCAACCCAAATAACCGCCCGTTCGATTCTTTGCATTATCTGGATGGACCATGTTGACACCGGGTGGTTGGTGAAGACTCGTTCGGTTCGTCTGCTTCGGATAGGATTCGTCTTAGGACCTACGAGGGAAGCCCCGCCAGCAAGGGCCAGCTGCAGTTCGATCTCTGGGGCCGCAAGCCCAGCGAACGCTGGGACTGGCAAGGCCTGAAGCAGAGCCTCGGATGGATCAGTTGAAAGGCACCCCTAGTAATGCCACAAGATCAATGAACACTCTGTCAAAGGCAGAATTGTATAGGTCCATGTATGAACCCATGGCCATTTTGGACCCTTTGGGGGCTGATTTCTTGTGGAATAGGATATCCTTTACCCCCAACTGGTTGACTCATTTGCAACCCTTCACTTCTACTTCAATCCGCTGTCTCAAAGTGGCCCCAAAGTTCAAAAGGTGATGTTCAATCATGCCCCAAAAAGGGAAGCTGAGAATTCCTTGTGGGGACGCCCGATCCATCTTCCCAAATCCGAGGGTCAATATGAAAGGGACATGGCACACTCTTGGGTCCCTGTATGTGTCAGCACGTTCAGCCTGATTGAGAGGCTTGTTTTCCGCTCGCCACAAACTGAGATCTCCGACCCTCGCAAGACTCGCCGAGGAAGATTGCCGTGCATGGGCTGCGGAACTCTTTGCTGGTGGCGCCTGGGTTCGCACGTCTGGAGTTGGAAAGGTCTGGAGGGGGGGCACCCCAACAATCTGGTGCGTCTTTGGAAGAGGCTAGCTGTCATGTTGGAGCTGTTCGGCGAATGGATTTTCGGAAATTAATTGACTGAAGGTGTGCTGTTTGCACTAAGCATTTGACCACTGGGTTAGTCAATCTGACGCTTTCGGAGCCACGGGAAGGGAACTTTACTTTTGAGCCAACGCCAATGAAGAGAGCTTTTTCTCAGGGAATCTGCCTTGCTGGATTGCACATGACAGCCATTTGCGGCTCAAATAGGCCGCCCAGGAAGCTTGCGGCGATCAAACGTTGGGACACTTCATAGAGATTCACAGCCCAGTCTAAACTCGGCTTTAATTGGGGTCCCTGGCATTTAGGTTTAGGCCTACAGCGGCTCTCGGTTCAGTGGGACCCATCAGTAGATCGCCTTTGGACTCGAATGACGCTGAAAGCTAGCGGAGCACCAGCCAGGGGAGGCAAACAAAGAACCAAACCTAGATTTAGATCTACATATACTTATACCTATATTTACAAATACTATATTTGTATCTACATAGATACGGTAGATGGATTGCCGTTGTCATGTTTTTCTCAAAGCGCCGAAGCACGCAAAGAAATCAACAAACAAGCAAAGAACACGCAAGCAAGCAAACACGACACACATTAAAGGCAGCCGTGCGCGCAGACACAGAACACACGCACACGCGCACACACGGGCACATAGGAAGTACATATGCACGAAATCACGCGCACAAACGCAAACGCGTGCGCAGGAATATATATATATGTATATATATATATATACCTGCAAAATCCTAACGGCACAAATTTTAGCCTCGGCCTGCAAAAGGCGCCTTTTTCCGTCCTGCGGCGGAAACTGTCCAAACAGCATGTTTCTTGCGGCGTTTTTTGTTTTGCTACGGCGTTTTTTTGGGTTTGGGTTATCCATCCAGGGAACCCTCATCATTCAGGTCACGAAGCTGGGAACTTCCATTGATTGCCGTTATTCAGCTATTTGGCTTCTAGCCACCCTCTGGCCAGCACTAGCTGGCTGCTAAGGGTACGCCCTGCCTTTTTGCACTGGCACATGATGCTGCGCACTGTGACAAAGCGTTGCCAGTGCTTGCTTGCACCTCCAAGCCCGCGTTGGGCAGCGCTTTGGCTCGGAGACCCTGAAGGTTAGGTCCACGCAATGGCCTTGACTGATGAAAAGGTCAGCAGTATTTTGAAAGAAGCAGGCGTGGCGCATGCTTGTTTGGAACCCAAACTCCAACAAGAAACGGTTGCAGGTCTCAATGACATGCCCCAGAAGTTCTTTCAGGAGGTCCAGGCCTTGCTATGGCCGACTGAGCCGTTGCTGGTTCCCGACTTAGGTTGTCTGCTGGTTGGCAGTGTGCTCTTGAGTCATTGAGGGTTCTTCCCATAACACCTTCGGTTGCGCAAAGCTAAGGATCCATTGGATGAAACACGCGCGAAGGTCATAGTGGAGAATTTCAAGGGCCGAGGGGCAGTGTGTGATCTTGCGACCTATTTGCGCGAATGGCAAGCTGACCGAGACTAGGAGACAATTATTAGTTTAGCTAGTGTTTTCGACCTTGAGTGACCCAATCAGAATTACTTACCCCTCGGCTGCTCCAGCCTAGGTTCACGCGAGCGCCAGAGCGCCGATCTCAATGGTGAGACACAGCCATCAGAGTGAACGCCTTTGCCGGCGAAGCGGGGCGCGTTTCATGATGGAAAGGTGGAGGTGGAAGAAAAAGCTCCTGAAGCGTTTGACCTTGTCACCCGAACTTGCTTCATGGCACCTACATCCAAACTTGTTTGACCCTCAATCCCACGCAGGTCATGGTCACCTTTTTTCTCAACCCCTTGACTCTTCAACTTGGGCACGCAGGCGCGCTTTCTTGTGGGGCGTGGCAGTTGAATTTCTGGTTTTCCCTGGCCAGTCTTCCGGCTTCTACTAGCTGGAGTTTGGCTTCAAGCGTACTGACCAGAAATGATGAGGAGGCCAGTTTGGATCCCCAACTTTGGAATGGTGTGTTGGGTTGCACCCTGGCAGGCGGGTAACATGGGAAGTTCCTCACTCACTTCTGGAGGCGCGCCCTGTGCACCAGAGATGACACATGTGTTGTCTGACTGCGCCAGGCGGTGAACCTGGTGGTCGCCTAGTGCCCCTGTTTGCCCTTCATGTGCCTCTTGTGACCAGTACCTTGAACTCGTTTCAATTGACCGCCTGAAAGCATTTGGCTGGAAAGTGAAACTCCCTGGTAACCATGTCGTATATGCTTCGCCATCTTTCAGAGACCGATTCTCTTGATGGGTTGGCCGAAGCCTGGGAAGCCCACAAAGAACTGCGGCGAGCGATCGTCAAGAAGAATGCCCTGTTGTCATGGCCATCCCCGCAGCGCGTTGGCAACATGTCTCTGGAGGCCTTGTCAATGAACGCCCCCATGTTGAAGGTTTTGCTGCAAATATGGGTCCCAACATTGGCCTCACCAAAGACAACGCCAATCGATCAGCTGAAGCGGGAGGCCTGGCACCACCAGTAGTTGTTCGTTCTCCCTGTCTACTTTGCGGGCTTGTGGAAATCTCAGATCCCTTTGAAGGTGCGGAGACTCCGGTTGGCTATGAGAATCTCAAGTTCCCCCGTGTCCGTGCACTGCGATGCCCATGCTTTGAAGGGCTTTATGAGCTTGCTGATCAGAAGACATGACAACAGCGTTCGCAGAGAATCTTGACTGAGATTGAAATACTCGTTTGACCCAGAAAAATTTCCAATGAATCCTCGCCCTAGGACCCGGCTCTTCAAGAGCTGTTCGAGATCATGGGCAAGCACTGGGCGCCCAAGACCCGCAAGAACTCATCTGCAAACCTGGCCGATGAGGAGATTGAGGGTGGTGGTGATGAGGGTGGTGAGGGTGATGAGTCCCCCTGTCAGGCAAAGGTTTCCGTTGAGGGCGAGTCAACCCCAAACTCCGTTGCCAAAACTGACGAATACCTGGCATGGACGCTTGGCGGGGACTTCAAGAAAACCCAGGAACCCATGTTTGATTCCCCTCTTGCCACATCCCCTGACGACAAGTCGGACCAAAGCATCGAAGACGAACTCCGGCTACTTGAGCAACTTGAATGCGGATAATGATTTCTGTTTGGGCTAGAATTGCTTTGCCCCTTGATTTCCCATTGCTGTCCCTTTCAGGCAAAGGATGGCTGAGCGGCGGGTTGCCCTGGCTGGGAAACTGGTGGCTGAGTCTTGGCAAGGTCTGCGGCTTAACTACGGCTTAACTACTATCCCGGTCACACAAAAGAACAATCTCACATGTGGCGCTCTCCAAGGCACTGGTGATGCCGCAAGTGGCAGTATGCAGGATGCTGAAACCCTCCCATTCGATGGTGCCCAAGTGGCGCAGTTCATCACAGCAGGCCTTGTTTTTGAAACATGGCCTTTTGAGGTTTGAGTGTTTTTGCACTTGAGCCGGGTGATGGCAGTTCCATCGCAGGCGTGCCATTCGGGGAGGACAAGGTCCAGCAGTTCGCTTCTGACCCTGAGCCCACGCCCAACCCTGACAAGGTCACAGACCCTGAGCCCACGCCCAACCCTGACAAGGTCACAGACCCTGAGCCCCAGCCTCTTGAGGCAAAGAAGCCCAAGCTTGCTGAGCAGCTTGAGCCCCACAGAGTCACAGACCCTGAGCTCCAGCCAAAGGAGCCTGACAGAGTCACAGACCCTGAGCCCCAGCCTCTTGATGAGGCAAAGCCCAAGCCTGAAGGTTATCCGGAGCCCCAGCCTCTAGATGAGCTGAAGCTCATCCCTAGCGACTGCAACCAGGTTGCAGGTCCCCAGGTGCTGGCTGTCCCTGACAGTGCTTTGGACACCTCACAGGTCTTGACCAAGCCGAACCCGGCGGACTGCAGCCCGACCAGCGCGGCCATCATGGATAGCCAGGCCTGTCAGCAAGTGCCGTCGAGTTGCTGCTTTGATCCTTCCCATGGCAGGCGTTGGTCTCCCGTCACGACCAGCTGGCTGTCAGGGCATCGCTCCGCCGCAAGCGCAAGAAGGCTGAGGCAGAGGAGAGTGAGGGAGACACATGGGAGGAGGACAGTGCCCAGCCCAAGAAACGCTCCAAAGCAGAGCAACGCAAGGCAAACCAAGACAAGAAAGCGAAGAAGGCTGCCAAAGCCAAGACTGAAAAACAGGCACCGGCGGCCAAGAAAAAGGAACAGAAGGAAAAGGCTGCAAAAAAAGTGGCCACTGCGAAGGCCAAGACTGCACAGGCAAAGCCAAAAGCAAAGGCAAAGGCAAAGGCAAAGCAGGCCAAACCGGCTGCATCGCAGCATCAGGAAAGCAACGGGCCGGATGATCTGGTCACCCCACAGCGGCCCAGCAAAGCCGCCGGCGCCACTCCCAAGGAACAGATCACACCGCCCAACCCTGTCAGAAGGACTTTCGCCAGGAGGTACCAGTCCAAGACTGAGAAAGGTGCTGCATGGTGGTTTGCTTTGGCATCCGCCTTCGATGCAGAAGTCAAGAACAAGGTTGTGTCCCCAAGCCTTTTGGAGGACTAGCCCTTGTTTTTCACTTTAGGGACTGGCAAATTTGGCTGTAACCTTGGGTCTTGGCTGGGACTCGTTTTAGACCTGGCTTTAAGGGGGTCTAGTTTGCTGATGGGTGGTCGGCTTTGGGGAAACACTTACTTGCTTTGTTGCATTGGGGCTTTGGGGACTTTTAGACTAGCAGTGTTGAACTTCGGAAATCTGTCCCTTGATTCTTGATTGAAGTTTGTGAGGACAACTTCTGGAAGTTCTGCGTGCAGAAGTGGAAATTGACCAACGGAACCGGGGAGTACAAGGAGTTGGCTTTGACATGGGCCGTTGAATTCCTGCGGGATGAGTCTATCCAGAGCACCCTAGCTTTTCTGAGGCGTTCTAAAGCCACTCCTGCAATCGCCCCCTCCCAAGCACCCAGGTAAACTCCTT